TTACTGTGATCTCAGAGGAAGGGAGGACATGGTGTGTGGTAGTGGGCTTGTTTTGTGACGGGCAGCTTGTCTTCATTATCATTCTTTTACTGTTAATTTTTCCACTGGCATCATGGTTTCGCTGAAACCAGGAGCTGAGGGTTTTGATACTATAACGTTTGACGATGAGATCTTTGGCGTCGTTCACAAGGACTAGACCATGTCTTCACAGGCAGTGCACTGGGGTAATCAGCTTGATTGTTCCTAGCCCTTCAGGATTCGGTGACCATGCAGTTGTTTCTTTCAATATTTCCGTACTTAAATAACCTGCTGCTGATCAACCACTAGTCGGGTATTTTAGGAGAACTGAATTTGAGGAGGTCCGACAAGATCTAGAAGGTTCCACTTGCCTAAAATACGACGACCTTCTGGACATGGATGTCAAATGGGATCTGTTGAAGGGCACAATCCTTCAAAGGCTAGATAATAGTACTCCTCTGATTTCAGTAACAGCCAACAAGTTGCGCTCCTCCTGCCTTTAGCAAGGTGAGCGTAAACTTATACGGCGTAAACGGTCATCTTGGAATCATCGGAGGGTGCTTAATAGCTCTATTAACCGGCTAAATTACAAAGACATCCGTAATAGATGTACGATAAGGATCAGAAATGACAGAGTAAAGTACCAGATACAACTGTGCAGAACTCTGTAGGGCAACCGTCGGACATTGTACTCACTGATGAAGTGGAAGCGCAACGGCTCATCTGTTTTGCAGGGCCCCGGTAGTTTAGAGATTTTCCACACTGACTTATAGGCACCAAACTTACTAGCTTATGAATTCCGAAGGAACTTCTACCATTTGGGAGGCGTAACCATGTATCTGTCGGACACCGGCTCTTGGGAAAAGTTCAGTCATACATAGCTTCAACCTTCTATGGTAGAGGGAACCTTAAAGAACCTAAGCCGGAATAAGTCTTTAGGGATTGGTAGGATCCATCAGTGTACTCAAAGATCGTGCCGACGTTCAGACTGCCCCACTAGCAAACATCTTCAGATGCTCGTTTCTGGAAGGCACGTTATCCTCTGGCTGGAAGCGGGTGGCTGTCAACTCAGCATATAAAGTTAGCAACAAACTATTTACTCCTAGCGATGGACCAATCTCCCTGGTCTCTACAGTTGCTAAGATCATGGAAAAAGTAACAAATGACTCTTCCCCGTGATTGCTTACTTAAGAACTCAATCTGAAACGACTGCCAACATGGTTTCTTACCTGGAAGGTCATGTAACGCCAACTCGTTGACAGATTCTGATTGCTGAAATCTCTCTGCTGTGCAGAAAAAGCCCGTTAACATTGGTCTACTTGACTTTTCCAGGGCCTCGGGTGGGGTGAATCACGACACCCAGTGTAAGAAACTTCAGCGTTTGAGCATACACAGGAAGTGACTAATTCGGCTTTGAGATGATCTTTACACTAGGTTGCAGTTAGTTAGAGTAGGCTTCTCTTTATCTAGTTCATCTCCGATGCTGTGTGGTGTGCCTCAGGGTTCTTACTTTCATCAATGACGCACCAACATACCTCAGTACACATTCACTATTATATGCCGATGATCTGAATAGTTGGAGGGAGGTACAGATGCCAAGGGATACTTTGGTCCACCAGGGGGATCTTACGAAAATTCTAAACCAGACCAAAGAAGACCTGCTGTCTCTCTACCTGAAGAAGTGTATGATGATGATGATAGATGATAGTTCTTGCTCTCTGTCACTCTAACATGGAACAAGGTCTGAAGGTTACATTAGGTGATACACTAAGAGCTACTGTCCACTGTCGCCTTGCAGCCAATAAGGCCTATGGAGTCTTGGGGTTTCTTTCGCGAACTTTAGGGAGTCCAGCTGCCTTCTTCACCATGGTGTATGGAATGTATATCCGCCCTCATTTTGAGAAAAATTGGTTTGTGGTGTGTTTGTAATTCAAGGTGAACATAGCCACTCTAGAACGGGTTCAGAGGAGGGCTACCAAGAAAGCAACAGGGCTTCAGCCAAACCTTGCCTAGGTCTATCAGTTGCTCCTAAGCTGCATCCACTAACATGCCGAAGGATCGGAGGGGATATGATCATGATGCACCACATTGCCCGTAATCCCATTCATCCTAATAGATTCCTCTTAAACCTTAATCAGAAACACCACCTAAGGGGTCGCAGGTTAGGGGTGGGGTATGAGAGAGCACGCACAAAAATCTGTGTAACTCGCCCGCAGTTGGACTTTACAAACTGTAGAACTCTCTTCCCCAGCTGTTACGGCTCCATGTCCGGATACTTTCGAGAGGAGGTTAGATAAGCATCAAGGGTCTTGTTGTACTAAGAAAGCTTTCCGTCATCTACTCATCAGTAGGAGTAATGCCACCTTGAGACTAGACAAACTAAAAATCAGCCACCTTTATATTTTCAGGTTTCATTGGAACCCATCAGTCACAGTGTACCAGAGGTAACACACAAACTCTCAGTGAGAAACTCATAGCCAAAGCGTGGGACAGAGAGGCTTATCCAGAGCAAGAATCAGGCTTGATTCAAGTGGCGTTCACCACTCAGGTAGTCAGACTTCTTGAACTACAATAGGATTCGCGACTGTTCTAAAATTAGAGTGCTTAGCGACAGATTTTCCTACCAAACAAACCTGCAAGAGAGGTTGCAGAGCAGTCCCAAAAACTTGTGCCGCTTCATGTTGGGAAAGAAGTCGACCAGTAAGGGAGTGAATCTTGTCACAGGTCATGATGGGGGTATACTAGACAGTCTAGAGATTGCCGAGCTTCTGAGCTCATACTTCCAAGCCCAACTTAGCACCGACACAAGATCCACACCAACTCGTATTCGAGAAACTATCTGGGCTACATCCAGGCAAGTCTCCTGCCTGCGATAACCTAAAAAACCACGCCGTGGTGCTTACAAAACCACTCTGCCACCTCTTTAAACACTCAATAGAGTCGTGCAAACTCCAGAAAGAATGGAAGAGTGCCATCTCGTCACCCATCTTCAAGGGAGGAGACAGAAAAGACCTTGGCAGCTACAGGCCAATTGCTCTACTCCCTATTGTGTCGAAAGCGTTGGAAAGCCTGGTAGCTGGCAGTATCTAGGAATTCGGAGTGGTCGCTCATGTGCCACCAACCTACTAACCGCCTGGGGCGACTAGACACAAAGCTGGGGTGACAGAAAACCGGTACATGTTGTATTTCTCAGCATAGCCAAAGCATTTGACAGTGTCCCACCCATAGTCCTACCTAACAAGATCATGTCAGCCGGTATAAGTGAACCCCTACTCTCTTGGCTCAAGGAGTACCTGGAAGGGAGGCAGTTCTGCACCAAGGTAAACAAAATAAGGTAGGAGTGGAGACCCTCGACGTCAGGAGTGTCCCAAGGAGCAATCCTAGGACCACTTCTGTTGCTCCTGTTTGTCAACGATCTGCTAGACAAAATATCCTCACCCATCCTCCTCTTCGCTGACGACATTAAAATTTGGAGGGTGGTAAACGAAGAAGCTGATTGTTCAGCACTACAAAAGGACTTGCAGCAACTCGAGCTCTGGTCGTCGGAAAGTGGCCTGAGCTTCAACCTGGAAAAGTGCAAAGTAGTGCATATCGGTAAATATGAAGCAAGTACGACCGACTTCCAGTACATGTTGAGCAACCGTGCTATCACCAAAGTGTCCATGGAGAAAGATTTGGGGCTGAACTTCTCCGACACCTTGGACACCAGCTCCAACTACAAAGGTATGACAACCAGATCGAATGCCATTCTACACTTTCTGAGTAGACAGCTTGGCGTCCTCACTCCCAAACTCTTCCTTACCATTTTCAAATCCTACGTGCGGCCGCATCTAGAGGTCTCCAATACGGTGCCCCCCCAACACTCAAGAGAGACTCTAATCTCCCTGAAAAAAATTCAAACAACCACAACAAAATCAGTTGTGGGGCTAAGGGGAAAGACGTATCTTGAAAGACTTAAACACCTAAACCCATTTACCTTGGGTTGTAGCAGGAAAAGGGCTGACCTTGTTATGGCCTACAAGACCGCCCATCAGTCAGACCATGCAAACAAATCAGTTTTGCCTGCAACTCAACGATCTTCACAAGGAAACCCCGTTAAAATAGCACACCAAAAAGCCAACACCACACTCAAGTCCAGGTTTTTCTCCCTAAGAGTATGTGCTTTATGGAATGCCTTACCGCGACATATCGTTACATCCCCCTCAGTCGACTCATTCAAGAGACGATTAGACAGTTATGTCACCTGGCATGGTCTACCACGGACGTACTCAGGTAGTCGCCAACTTCACTAGCCCCCAACTCCCTCCTACCTAACGCTCACTGTCTCCTTAATACACCCACATTACCTACTAATTCTTCTGTAGGAACCAAACCCACGCGACCATTCGGGCAGTCCCCACATACTTTTCTCTCCCTCCCTTACTTCTCCTTTGCACTTCTCCTTTCCCTCTTCCTATCTTTTCCTTTTTCCCTTCCCTTATTTCTCTCTCTTTCTTTTTTCTTCTTCATTCTTTTCATCTTTTACCACTACCTTACTATTCTCTTTCAGTTACCTACACAGACAGGAGTCATGATAGTTCCCTAAACTTCCCAGCAACACGTAGCTTCCCAATCACTCTACAAATTACAACTTACTGACCCAGAAAACGTCCACCTCACCGAGGCTAAAAGCAAGAAGGCGGAGGGGATTTTTTAGTCCACTGCAGGAGTGAACCGAACAACTCAAACCAAGCCCTAAGAACTAGACGCCAGAGATCAAAACTATCAGTTTTCTATGCTCGCACTGTCAGTGGTGGATATTGGAAAATAATTGTGACAATTAGAAACCTGGAACGTACTCCAATAAGGCAGATGTTTGAACCCAAGGAAGCATCGTTTGCTTATTCTACAACAAGAAGTTTGAAGTTTACTTTAAACATATCGCATAAAAATAATGCAACACACCTCAAGGTCATACTCGTTTCGAACCACCAGCAAACGCGATGGTTAGTTGTTTCATGTTTCTGTGATCTATTCATCAAACACTTAAAAAGTACCTGGTTCCATAACAGAAAAATGAGATTTTCACTCTTCTCTACTAATATTGGCCTATCCTCTATTTCGTGGTCTCCGTGGTTTAAAAGAAAATAAATCGGCATGCAGTGTATACACTGGACAGGTTTGATCTCGATGTGGGGTTGCATATTTTTCAGATAATATACACAGCTGTTTGCGTTTTCAGTGCGTCCACTGCTGTTGGGTCTCATCTTCCGCCTGCATTTCGACTAGCAAGACCTAATTACACATAGCAGGATGTGTAGCAGTTGTTTTGAAACCAAAATTAGTGATAGTGGCTGTCATTTTGAGCTGTGTAATGATGGATGCTACCTGATTCAGTATGCACTTAGTCCTTCGTAGCTTTTTTGTTTGTGATAGTGTACAGCACAAAAGGTGTGAGTAGTTATGTAGACTATCTTAAACTTTTAATAATGTGTACCGACCAGCTGTTGATAGGTTTTCATCTAGGCTGTAGATAGGTATGCAATTTGTTGCAGGGTAGCGTGTAAAAGAGTGTAAGTTTAATGATATCTACAAGAATCTAGAAGTGAATAGCGGACGAGAAAAACGAGCCGACAACTCAATAAGTACGCGGGATGTACTTACATTTAACACTTAAAGGTAACTGAAAAACGACGAAGAGTTGAAGCAGTCTAAAAATCAAAAATGGGAAGTGGATTAGTGAGGTTTCATATACAGCTCATTTTTAGCAAGATAAATGTCTTCGCAATACTTTCTAACAATTTTTCGAAGATGAGAATGTTCCTTTTATGGCGATTGTGTCGTATAGTACTCAGTATGAGTCTTCTTTCTAACGTAAATCAACATAATTACCGTAGTTGTCTTCCTGGGAAGCACTTAGAGAGTCAAAGAGAACCTGTTACTCCTTGCACCATTTCACAGTGCTTACAGTAATTGGTTCCATAAGATTTCCGATTGATTTCTTGTTATCAACAAGAGATGGATCTACCTAAAAATGTATCACGTGAAGTGTAACTGTTAAGATATGTGGTAAAGCCAATGAGAAATGAAAAGCTGTTGTGAAATTCATTAGATATTTCGATCAGTTTCAAATTTTCATCCAGTTTGCTAAAGTCTCCTACATTGCTCAGTTTCAACTACCGCCTTGGTTAAAAGTGCATTTTAATATTATAAACATGTTGAGATTCTTTTAACGTATCACATTTTCATCCTCCGTGGTACATTTCAAATCCCAGTCAAGAGATTGAGCTAAAATTTGTGTTGACCAATTATATTGCCAGACAACGGTTTATTCGCCCTTCAGATCATTGTACAGCAGCAACGTGGATTTATTTTAATCACATGTGCATCGTTAGGATGCTATCAGTGAACTTTGGAAGTGTTTTGACAGAGTGATTCGTTCATACATATAATGAACATCCACATTCTGTCCGATGAACTGTGTAAAAGTTCCTCCTACACTCTCTCAATTCAATACACACGACAAGTATGTGAGTTTGTGCCACCATCTGAGTTAATCTCGTGGTCTTCCACGATAAGATCAGTTCCTGCAAACTAAGATGAGCGGAAAATCCCCATAAATACGTCTGTGATAAAATTAAAAGTGAACACCACTCGACGTTCAATACCCGCCTGATACCATACCATAGGTGAGTACGTCAATAGACGTTCAAATACAAAGCCTTCAACAGTGATGTACTTATCCGATACTCCTTTCAGCGAAACTGCCATAGAACCTCTCGACCAACAGAATCGAATACCACCTTAAGGTGTGAGGATACAGCTAGTGTTGAGCATCGGAAGTGTGCTTGTGTTCCAGAGCCTGGTGCAAACAAAATCAACGTAAAACCTCGCACACACATGCATCGGTCCAAGTTGCCATACTTCACAGATGCATACAAAAAGTAAGTGGATAAGAAGAAATCGGTATTAAAGTAGACAAAGGTATATGGGAGCAGAAGCATTTCAGAAACAAAGGTAGGTGAAAACATTCAAGCTTGAGAGGCCGTCAAGAAGTAGAAGCACCTGCGCAATTGTAACCGATTTTCACCTAGGGTCTTCAACCATTGATACCCAGTCTTGGGCAATCCACACCACATGGCTCAGACCAGGAGTCCTCGACTTCATGAACTGATGATATCTTGGTCTGAACACCCTCAACCTTCTCCCAGCCTAACCCAGCTTCTCTTAGCATTGTGTTTCATGTCCCATGCATGATGAGCCACCGCTGTAATAATAATTAATGAAGGCTCTCCACTTCATTGTCCACCTTCGTTTTCTTGCCTAGCACTCTTCGTCTATCCACTACTTTATTCACATGGTGATTCTACAAAGAAAACTGGCCAAAAACCTGTAGTCTTCATATCTTTTGCTTTCAACGGCCGTCTCATTGCCGTTTAACAGGAAGGAACGGACTACGACTCAGTATACTCGATATTCGGATATCTCGGCAGTTGGGGCCAGCGATGTTACAAGTTGGCAAATATCAAATGGGCCTTTTTTTTTATCCAAGCTGAGATTACGCCAACAACCAGCCCATTCGAACGTATGCAACTTCTAGTATAGGTGAAGTGGTCAAAGGATTCCACCACCGCACTCCATATCCTTAAAATAGGGTACATACAGGCAAGTCATGAAGCATTATCTTAAATTTGACAAGCGCAAAGCACGTGGCAAACATACTGAAGATTCTACTCAAGACATCAGAAAAACCCTGCATTTTGTCCGTGACTTAATCTAATAGGAGAAGGTCCGGTTCAGCCAGCAGTACGAAATTGCCTTCGGACCCTCATCGTAGCGTAGAAGTTTGCAATGTAATGGTATCTGCTTTTCATCTCACCACTTTCTAACTGATCTTTCTTTCATGGTGAGTTCTGAAGGAAAAAGCATTGCTTGTTGGGTTATTGTAATATCCAAACCCGACCACCACGTCAAGGTAGAAGCTACCAGTCGGGACTTGATGGAGGGTGATTATCTAGTCGATGCACCCATGACCAGGTCTGAAACTCAGCTGGTTTTTTGGGGTTCACTATTTTTGATACTCATTTAAACGCCTAAAGATTGCTGAACCTAGGATCTTAAATAATACTTGTTGGAGCGATACTCCTGTGGTTATCATGATAGTATTTCTCCTCCACTTCTTTAAGGACTTAAACAATTTGTGACCAAACGGTATCATATCTAGTTTCTAGGATAAATGACCTTTCCCTGTTCCGACAACTGTCTAGTCAAATCCTGGCTGAAAGTAGCCTTAGTGTTATCATCGTTGAGCAGTCCTTGCAGCGGTTACGACTTCATATTCCTTTAGCATCAATTTAGGTATTGAAACGCGTTCTGAAACCAGTACATGATCACTGTCCGAAGACCTGCTCTAGAAAGAGCGACAATCATCCACCGCCTCTCCAGTGATTGCTGATAGCAACATGGTCCACTTTTGAGTTGAGGTCAGCGGATGTGATGTCAGACAGTGTTTTTGAGTATGTCTGAAATCCATGCTGACCAGAAGTTGATGGTTGCCTAGGCACTGTTGAAACTGGCAATCTCCGTCATCTTTTCGTTTGGCTGGAATTCCAAAAGTGCCACCGAAGTGCTTTGCTTTATGACTTGACCTACTCAGTTGTCCATTGGAATTTTCTGCTACAACAACTACGTACAAGGGTTTAGTTTTCAGCAGAGAGCTAGACAGTTTTCAGTAGAACTCATTCTTCACATCACTTGAACTGCAGACAACGGAGAACTTCACTGTTTTGTTTAGTCCTCATTGCATAATCCAGTCAAACGACGCGCAGGTGATCGTCAACCGGGATCTAATCGAGCAGTTTACTTTCCCTTCTAGCACAATATTGTGCCTACACGTACAGTGGCACGAGAACTAACCATCGAATCTCCAGGAGCTCGAAGAGTGGACATGGTAGGTTTTCCGCTTTGGTTGGATTAGGTTGAGTGGATAAATGCATCTGGGTCCTGTATGTGTTTTTCAGAGACAGCCCACATCCATAGCTCGAAGTGTCGGGGTTTTGTCTCACTACTATTTAACGAACCTTTCTTGCTTAGTAAGACTTAAAGGAACAAATTTTCATACCAACATAGCTCCCTTGGTCGTTATGTTATGCAAGCCTGCCCACCACGTCATCGTATCAGCTATCGGTCGAATTCCGCTACACGTACCGAAGTCTGGACAAGCAGGTAGTATCGTTTGGTATTACAATAGTTATGGCTCATTGCCTACTTCATGGACGTGTGTGTGGTCACTGAGTGTGTTAGGTTCCTATCGAGAATCGATAAAATATTAAGGAAATGCTTCTCTAGGGAATTCAGCCGATCGCAATCAAACTTCAGTAATAATACAGGAGGAAGGTCAGATGATTGACTAGCTTCACTGATTATGTAACTTTGACACAGAAAAGATTAGAAATACAAAGCCTTAGTTTCCTCAAATTTAGAACAAGTTTTCTATAGATCAGTATTGTCTAGTTCATACAAACACATGCATGTTAAAAGTAATACATAGCCTGTGCTTAAGCTTTGGATATCCACTTTGCATAGTTCCACATGTCACCGACCTATATATTCTAAAATATTTGACTGGTTCATTGCCCAGACCACTTAAATAAAGTTCCAGTTTTATTCTGTTGCATGTAAAATCAATCGAATGTTGGTTTACAGTGGAAAAAATTAGCTCAAACTGATATATGTAATTGACGTATGATTGAAACTTTCGTCTACTGTAACTAGTTCAATTGGAAACGAATTTTTGTATATTTTATCACAGCATAAAGTAAAATATATTCTGGTGACTGGTGGTGTTATCAGTGGGATTGGCAAAGGTATTATCTCTAGCAGTATGGGAACTATTTTGAAAGCCTATGGATGGAATGTCACTTGCATCAAAATTGATCCCTACTTAAATATTGATGCTGGTACATTTTCACCTTACGAACATGGAGAAGTATACGTTTTGGATGATGGCAGTGAAGTTGATCTTGACTTGGGAAACTATGAGAGATTTCTAAACATAACGCTGACTAAAGACAATAACATCACCACTGGAAAAATTTATCAGAAAGTAATTGAAAAGGAACGTCGGGGAGATTACCTTGGAAAAACAGTTCAGGTAAGATACTTATTAAATCACTAGGTTATGTATGTAACTAATCGTTGTTAGTTTACTAGTAACCGCATTAGAAGATATACTCCATTGTTATTTCTTACTACCCTTTATGGTGTCTGAAATTGTAACTCGGTGGTTCAGTGGAAAAGCCACATCGTTGAACTGTTTTGCTCACTGCATTCTGGATCATCATCAAAATCAAAAAAGGATCAGGCATTACTGCGTAACGGTCCGAGTTGCCACAACTCATATCAGTACACCAAGTAAAAAGGTAGTGAAGTGAAAGATGAAGAAGAAAAAATTCAGTCAAAAGGGATAGAAAGTACTCAAATAGAGAAAGTAAGAATGAGAAAATGGTGAGATTCGGTATAGTGTTAAGATGATACTTGAGTATCATAGTTAACTTTTACATAGTAATTGTACTTGTGTACTCATGATTTGTATTTGTGTATTGTTGTATACTGTGATTACCGTTGCCATTCTTGATCCAAATAGAAGCAGCAGGCACATCTCATGTCTTTCATTTCTGAACAGTAATAAAAAGAAAATGAAAGTTTGTTACCATTCTCTCATGCAACTTCTTATTCTTTTCTGATCCTTGTTTTATTCATTATCTCTTAACTATGCTCTATTACTTTGTACTGTTTTGTATAGCGCATCTCTTGGTACTCATGTTATATGAAGTTTGTGTTTAGGTATACAAACAACCGTCGTGATTAAGCAGCCTTATTACAAATTGCAGTAAAAACTAAACAATCTTTTGCAGTGTTGTATAATTTTCAGTTATTCACCTAGCCAGATACATGCGCAAGAACCTCGTATATACGAAATTCTTTCACTAAAGTTCATTGTATTGAACCGTCTTTTCGACAGAACTATTTCCACACTTTTAGTCATGAAAAAGTCTAGTTGTTATAAGTTACTACTAGCACAGCGTATAAGCTGGAGGGTACAAATCAGAGGAGACAATTCTGAAACCGTTTAGAAATTCGCATGCCAGTTTATGTGAATGGAATTACGATACGATTAGATGTAGCGTTTCAAACAAAGAAGACAAAGTAGTCAATAATGTTATAAGTCCACACCGAATGAGAAGTCATCCCAGACTTCCAATCTTGATAGAAGGAAAGGTAGAATAGGATACCTTATTGTGGTCTTTCTTTTTTTCCTTCCATGTTCATGTACTTATGTGATATATGACAACTTGAGTCGTTACTCAGTAATGCCAAGTCCCATGTTCATACTGATTGATTGATCAAACCAAGAGATAATACCGACTGATGATTTTACTGACTGTTAGTCTGTACCCTGTAGCTATAGGAAAATGACTTGACTAGCATTCGTGGAATGTAGAATTTCGGTGACTATCATCTCTAAACTCCATGACTGAGAATCTCATTCAGTGACAATTTATTTCCTTTGAGTGTGCGTAAACAAGGACAAAACAGTTGTCCAATACTCTTAGGTTTCTGAAAATAAAATTGTAATTACGTAATTCAGGTTAAATCTATGACAGTAGTAAAATAAACAATGAATTATAGAAATACATGTATAGTAAAACGTGCCCGTAAACACTACCCAGCCTGGTTGGCAAAGGGAGAAGGGAAATGTATCTTCAGTTCAGTAACAAAATATCTTGTGAATTCTGACCACTTACCTCCTTTTGAGAGCCTATTTGAAATCCCCTACAGGGTTCGATCAAACCACGCGAAGGGAGTAAGATTAAAGCATTTGTGTATAGCTGAAGCACTAGCCATCTAAAAGTTCAAACCAGCGTTGTGCGTCTAAAAATGGTACGTCCAACCCTTTTATCTTTGCCATGTCCATTATAAAGCATTAATTGTCATAGATTCATCCTGTATTACGTAACCATGCATGTATTTCCATAATCCCCTGTTTATTCTCCTACTCTCTCATAGACTCCTAGGTTTTTAATGGTTCTCTAGATAATGTCATACCCGGATAAAAATTACCTTAATATCCACTTCATGTTTTTTCAAATGTAAAATATCTTATACGTCTTTGCTTTTTTTTTGTCAACTCACTTTTGATTTTCGGTTACTTTTGTTATGACCGAATGGAATTACTGGCATGGGTATAGTGATACTGAAACTCAATCGAATACTTTTACGACTGACCTCTAGTTTCTTCTGCTTCACTGACCCACGAAAATCAGAAGACAAAAAGACGGCCTGTGACTGTAAGAGCAACAACAACTTTATTAGACATATATATACAAAGCCCTCAGAAAATGAAGCCATAAATAAACCAATCTGATTAGTTGTATGACATCGAATTTGTCTAATCAGGTTATCATGTTAGTACATGCATAAATCATGATCTCAAGACTATTTTTCTGTTGGCTGCTTTCTTGCCGCTACCTATCAACTTTGTTGTTAAAAAATGTCCCAATTTAAAACCCTGCAATATACAACGTTTTTTTAATATAAAAATAGAATTTTGCCACTTTGGCTGGCTATAATCCCATTGAAAACCCTATGAAACAGTGTTATTTACTGGATGACATTTGAGTACAATTTATTTCTCATAACCATTTACTGTAATATAATTTTGAGCAATAAATTTCTTTCTTTCATATTTTCCATCCTAGGTTGTTCCTCATATAACAGATGCCATCATAGAATGGGTTACAAATGTCGCTCGAATTCCAGTCGATGAAAGTGGTTCAACTCCAGAGGTATGCATAATTGAGCTTGGTGGTACTATCGGGGATATTGAATCGATGCCGTATGTGGAAGCCTTCAGACAAATGCTTTTTCGAGTTGGAAGTGTAAACTTTTGTTGTGTTCATGTCAGTCTAGTACCACAGCTTCCATCAGTTGGAGAGCCAAAAACTAAACCAACTCAAGTTAGTTTTGTGTGCATTTAAAATTTAGTTTGATGGTGTTTCTTCTTCAATCATCTTATACACTTCATAGATATGTAAGATAGCTGGTAGTTGAAATTCAGGATATTTTGAAATTTTGTTTTTTTTTCTACTCGATTAGTCTAACAAGATGATGCGACTTCAACTACGTAGTTCACATATTTACTCAGCACATGCACAATCTATCAGTTCCTTCATGAAGTAAAATGCAAATCTGTGCATTAGCTGGGCTTCGTAGCCTAGTTAGTAGAGCACTAGACCAATAACCTGGTGGTCGGTGTCTGGAATCCTGCCGCGGTCCAAATTCTCATTTCCCCTTTAATTATAACCCGGTATCAACCCCTTCATTTACTACATTATAACTGTTATTGTACAGTTACGGCTTCTAACTGTATTTAATTAAAATGTAACTAAGTAATCATTTGTAAATCCACGTAAATAGATTGTCAACTACAAAGTAACGATATTACCTGACAACTCAGACTGAATTAGATGGAGTAGGGTGTAAACTCCATGATGCATATTTGTTAAGCTGTGAGTGACTCCATGCTGGATAAAAAGCTCGCCTTACTAAGCACATAAGAAGGGAAGGAGGTATTTCAGGGTTGTATGCATGTTACCACATAGAGTTATACAATTTACAACTCAGCAACCTTGTACAGTCATGTTCATCAGACTGTGATCTAGACTTGCTATATATAAGCTGGTTATACTTCATGGCTGCTCAAACTTCAGTAGGTGCATTGGATCGGGTTCGAATCCATGGTTAGTTTGTGGAAAATAAAGAGCTTGAACCTACTGAACCATTGCTCTATTGTGTTATGTTGACTATGTTTCGGTTGTGACTCATTCTTGGGAAGATATCTTTACTATCTTTTGTTTCAGGTAACTAGTGACTAGTAGGTTTTCATTTTCAATAAAACGCACTGTTTAGAATAATAATAATAATAATAACCGCTTTATTCTAAACAACATGTATGATACCGTATGGGATTTTCAGCATGGAATATTCCAACAAATTCGCTTTCTGTACAATATTTTTAAAAGAAATAATTGTTACATCTGCATAGTGTTAATAATAACAGTATTAAAGATATCAGTGTGAAACGGGCAGCTAGTGTAACATTGGCATCTGTTCTCGATTTGGAAATTAACACAATATTGAGTGTAATTTTGATGGTGACAGTTCACTCAGCCTAGCATAGAAATTCACAATCTCATACACATAAGTATCCTAGAAATAGTGGTGTGTTTTTGAGCATTTACAAATCCATTTCCAACCGGTGGAATGTTTTTCTTTTGTTTTGTTCTTAGCCTGAGAAACAAAACTTCGAAGGCATTTTAAAAACGAGCGAGAGTACATGATGCGTTCATAAGACATTTGAAAGATTAAAACACACTGAAACGGAAGTATTTGATGGAATATAATCGGTGGAAAGTTATTTTGATAGCTCAAGATTTAAGCAGGCCGAATACATATATGTGAAACTATCCTACCAGTTTGCTGTTAAATGGGAGCCATTATCAAAAAAACACTTTAAAGCAGATAAATTCCTTCAAACCAATAACTGAATCCTTTTGTTTTGTTGATTACTACTACCTACACTGCTTTCAACAGCTTGCGAAGCTCGTTTTAAAAAGTAATTGGCTGAGAACTGTAAATAACGCTTTGAAAACGATCATCTATTCTCCTCGTCAGGATGACTTAATTTCCGTATTCTCTACTTGAGTACATTCTATTTTACTTTTTTATTAGGATTAATTTAAAAAACTTATTTAAATAACACTAATGTTAAGTACTTACTCTACTTTGTTCTCTTCCTTAGCGCTTTTCATCTTCACTTTGCGTGTTGAGTAATTCGTCTGTGAGATGAATACAGGCAGTTCATACACTCATCAATTGTTATTTGACAACATGAAATCAATAAATAAATCTCCATAAACCTCCAGATTGAATTACTGTCTAATACTCATTAGTGACTTGCTTCGAGATGAGATTCCTTAAGTTCTAATGACAAAGTTGTGACCGGTGCGGCCAACCGAGTCAAATGTCAGGACAGTTACTCAACGACGGCATTGGGTAGAGGTCGCGCTATATCGTTAACCGACAGAAGTAGGAAATGTGGCCCATTAGATGCCGATCCAATGGTTTAGTAGTAACGTCCTGGCCGCAGAACCCGAAGGTTTTGGATACGATCCTCGATAGGGTAATGGATGCGCACTGGTGAAGAGTCCCATGCTAAGACGAAACAGCTGTTCCAATGCCTCCAGGTTCTAAATGGTTCTTCAAATGATGTCAGTCTATGATAGATGTCAACCTGAGATTGTTATTTAGTTATATTGTGGGAAGGTTGTCTGAATTCACAGTAATTTTTAACTTTTGACGATAGTCTCACAGCAAAAGATATTATGAGGTCAATAGTTACATTACAGTCTAATGCCAACAGATATGATGACAATGTACGTTCTCGATTTGCAGCTTATGTCCAACTATTTTCAAACCCCAACTTTTTAGTCTTCATATTAGAAATGGTGGCTTATATAAACTTTATATATGGTACACACGCCAAAAATTGCACAGAATCCAAATGCTTTACAAATAGACTGACCCATATCACATTGTGCAAGGAGAATTCTCGTTACACCATGATCGGTGTAATTTCTAGCATAACTTCCAAATGGATGCAATTAATTTGGTTAGTATTCTTAATCTTCTGCCTCTTATAGGTTGACTTATTAAACTTGCAATTACCAATAGGGTTAGAAAAATAATCGTTGAGGTCTACTTTTGAATTATGTAAGCAGGTCGCTACAGCTGAGAAACTTCTTTAACTTATATAACCCATTAGTACATACTACTTACCATGGTTTTGACAGCTAAATATAATATCATCATAGCATAGTTGTGATACAATCACTACGTAGTACTTGTTTCTCTTGAGTTCTCTGAGCTACATGGGTTAATCGTGAGCCTTTCATTATCTTAACAGACAACATCATCAGTTCTAACTTCAATATCAAGTGAATTATCAGTATTTTTTCATTAGTGATTCAGTTGCAGGATATCAAACGCTCTAAGGAGAACATTCTTTGTATCAACGCTGAGACTAATATTCTTTTGTCACCCAAAGATATCTAACAAATCAAAGGAAGAACTTTCACATCTAACCACTTCTATGTGCATATATCAGTTCACCTGCTCTTGTGGAGCCAGGTATGTAGGTCGTTCAATTCGACTTTTATCCAAAAGGGTTCAAGAACACCATTTGCGTGACTACAAAGAAGCAACAATGGAGCGATAAGGAGTGCTATAATAGAACACATTGTGAATACTTATCTCAATAACCTCCTTGTTTAAAGTCATCTATAAAGTGAAAACAAACCTTCACAAGGCTGTATGTCTTCGTATTCTCTGTATCGCCGAAGCTCTTGCCATCCATGTGAAGAAACCTGAACTGTGTATGCAAAATAAAATTGTTTAACCCATTCTCCTTTCATGGTTTTGGTTTTCAGTCTCATGTACCCCGTACCCCTGTTTCTTCTCACTTTTTCTGCTTTAGCACTATTCACGTTTGAAGTAGTTTGCTACTCATTCTTGTTGCTATGCTCTGTCTGATCACCACCATTTAGTTTCCAGCTATGTCGTCATGTCACGAAACTTCTTGTCTAAACTTATTTTGATCAATATTCCACTATTCATCAGTTTTCGATTTTAATGACAGCTCATTTATTGACAATATTTGTGTTGCCATGTTTGACAAACTATTTTTAACTATCAAATCCTTACACTATAAAAATGTATAATTTTGAGATTGTACAGCTTTGAAGATGAAACCGCCGAAAAGAGACTGTTCGCTGAAATATACTTGTTCTTCTTTCATATTTTGATGTGTTTATTTCTCACCCTTAGGAAATTTTTGATATTGTGTTTCCCCTATCCACAATTTCTACACTCTGTAAGTTGAATTCATGTCCATAGAGTTATCCACGTGCATTGATATGTGCAATGAAATTTCGTTATTTTCAATAGCCAATTATTTCAGTTGGCTTTGTAAATGATATTTGGTTTATCTTGTTTGGCTATTGCGTCTTTTGATCTGGATGAAAGGAGTTTGTTGGTTTGTGATCCACAGCAATTTCAAGTGTTCTAATCTGTGATACACTCTTTATTCACCATCGGATGATCTGTTTGTTGCAGTCAAAGGAAACAACCAATCACAAACTTTTTCGTCAGGGCAAGTCACTGAATCACTGGCGGAAAGATATTGACAAATCACTTAATATTGAAGTTGGAGCTGTTGATGTTCACTAGAAAGATAATGAAAGCTTCACGACTAAATCACCCTGCTCATATAATGCAGCATAGCCATTGTCATCCACCTGAGCTACGAATGTTCTCCGCCATTTCAATATCTTTTGCTTATTCCCGCATTAGGTTAATGAGATACTCAATAAAGGAGCCAGTGTAAGGTGTTAACTAAATATGAGTTTATTTCGACTCTTTCATTCACTACCAAACACTCAAACTCCTTAGCTTTTAATATATGTTACATATTCACTTTCGGTTTTGCTTACATTACACCATTCTCTTGATCAGTGAATCCACTTACTAGTATGCCTTGTATTCCATTTAGGGAAAGTTATTGGCCTGAATTTTATTCTCTTTTATCGTGTATCTTTTTGTTATATTTAAGCTGTTTCAATAGGATTAAGATATTGTTTAATTTGTCTTTCTTTACTTGATTCTATTCAAAATTACTGGCAAGTGTACGTGAACTTCGTGCCTGGGGTTTACATCCAGATCTTTTAATGTGTAGATGCAGTTCATCGCTACCGTCGAGTGTTATCAACAAAATTAGTTTATTCAGTCAAGTTGCAGTAGAACGTGTAAGTAGTATAAATAGTCTAACTAAAACTATTTCTTTCATTATGTCTAAATTTCATGTCTTATTATATATTTTTGAAATTGTTTTCGATTATTTATTATCTATTCTAAAGAGGATGCCAGTTATGTTCTTTTTTTGAGTTTGAATATTTTGTCGTGAACTCTTCACAACCAGATATCATCAGGATTAGGTTCATAAACAAATGAGTCATCTAGAGGTAGTATTCGTCATGGTCTGACATCATTTAGGGAACTATTGAAGATCTGGGAGCATTGGACACGGCGAATGGTTGACGCATTCGCCATGAAACCTGAAGGTCCTGGGTTAAATCTCTAGCCGAGTCGTGGGTGCGTACTGCTGAGAAGTCCCATGCTAGGATGGAAATAGCTGTCCAGTGCTCCCAGATTTTCAATGGTTCCCCAACTGATGTCAGTCCATGATGAATACTACTTCTGAGTTAAAAATCCCCATTCGTCTCAAAAATAAATGACCCGTTGTGAAATTTTCATTTTTCCAAAGGGTGTTAATTAACGCCATTTAATAGTTAGAATCAGACTGAGTTGACAAACTTACAACTGAAGCAGAACAGGCTGCAGGTAGAAGAGACCTGACCACACTATATCAAATAACCAGGTTACTATCTGGGAGGGAGAAGATCAATACAGAATAAACCAATGAAAGATAATGAAGGGAACTTAGTTACCACCTAAGATGAGCTACAACGGAAACGATGAGCTAACCACTCCAGAAAACTCCTGAATCGACCACCACCTACAACTTGTCCAGAAATATACCAGCAGCCCAGCCACAGAACTATCAGTGACTACAAGCCCTCCGACAAAAGCAAAAGTGAAGTCATAAACTCCATAAAGTTGCTGAAATCCGGGAAAGCAGCAGGACCAGATGGAATTCCACCAGAAGCACTGAAAACAGACATAGAGACAATGGCGGACATGCTCACACCATTATTGCAGAAGATTTGGAAGGAAGGAAAAGTACCTGCCGATTAATTGGTAGAAAGACCACCTTGTCAAACTCCCAAACAACGGTGACCTGAGTCTTTGCGAAAACTGGCGCGGAATCATGCCCCACCCCAGGCAAAAGATTATGCCGCATCATCCTGGAGAGACTAAAGGAGGTGCTGGATTCAGGAAGTACAAATCATTTGCGGATCGAATTGCAACGCTACGCTACGCACCATCATAGAATGGCATTCAGCTCAACCCAACCTCAACTTCATCGATTTTGCAAAGGCCTTCGATAACGTCGACCGAGAAGTAATTTGGCAACTGCTTCAACACCATGGAGTACCACAGATCTTTACCAGCCTCATTCAACAGCTATATGAAGACGCCACATGCCCAGTGATTCACAATGGAAAGCTCAGTGATGCCTTTGAAGTGAAGACAGGAAGGAGTAAGACAAGGTTGCCCCTTACTATCACCGATGATCTTCCTGATTGTGGTGGACTGAACTGGACCATGCTACAAACTGTGAGGAGCGAGAAGATTGGCATACGCTGGCTGCACCGATGAAAAGAGTTTAGAAGATTTGGATTTCGCCGGTGATTTATGTCCAATGTCTAGTCGCACAAACTCGAAGATCTACAGACGAAAACTAACAAGTTGATAGAAGAGGCGGGGCAGCGAAGACAGGACTACCTTCAGGTGAACGTAGAGAAGACAGAGGCGATGAAGATAACCAACCAATAACAGCATGCACCAGTCACCATCAACAGGAGAAACCTAAAGGAAGTTGTCTCGTTCACTTACCTAGGCAGCATCGTTTCAACTACAAGTGGCGGCGGCACAGATGAGAATATCAAAACCAGGACTGGAGAGACGGCATGACAAGCCTTCATTAACTTGAAATCAGTGTAGAAATCTACTGCACTCAACGTAAAGAACAAGATCCGGATTTTCAATATTTATATCAAGTAAGTCAGTGCTTGTATATGGTTGAAAGACTTGACGCGTTACGAAAAACATTTCCAACAAACTACAGACATCGTATATCAACAGCTCCTGCCTACGCTCACTCGATACTAAAGATCAGATGGCCAGAATGAATAAGCAACAAGGATCTCTGGTTTAGCAACGAACCAACCAAGAACCCATCGCTCAACAAATATGCAGAAGAAGCGAAGGTGGATTGGATTGAACATACACTGAGAAAACCGTCTGAAGACATCACGCGCCAGATCATACCAGGCCCTCGAGTGGAATCCGAATGAGAAAGGACGAGTTGGGCGTTCCAGCTGAGAGTGACATGGAGGAGATCATATGTGGAAGAAATAAAAGCTTGTGGGCAGTCGTTGAGCCAGGTTAAAAAGACTGCAGAGAAGAGCAAAGAGTGAAATGGTGACGTCCTACTGAAGCCCTATGCTCCACTAGGAACCCAAGGGACAAATAAAATACATAATATCAGACTGAGCAATACTCTTCTCTTCTGACCTGCTACTCGCTTATGGATTTCTGCTGTATGCTAATGAAGAATAGTTTTAACGCCCTTTTCTTACATATGTTCTCTTTTTGACAAAGAGGATGAATTATTCATCATATTACAATTTGTAAGGAAGAATTCAGTTTCATCTAAATGGGCAGCGTGAACTGGATTTTTATGAATCTTCAACGATCTATTCCAGCAGGTAGTATGTTTTATACTGCTTGTGCGACAACATTGAAACCTGACTTCCACTTCATACTGTTGTTTTAAAGGGTCAGTAGTTGCACTAAACAAATGGTGAAGACTGTTACAACTGACCGAATTCACCGCTAGCATTCTCTAAGGTAAATGGCGTATTGACTAGCAATCTTTTCGACACCTTAGTGTGACTGATTGGATAATAATAAATATCCAGAACGATAATAACGCGATGAGATACTTGAACTGGATAAGAGTAGCGACTGTTCTCCCTCAAACCTGCTACTTCACTGAGCCGCGAAAATGAAAGGACAAAAATCGGTGTGTCTGTCTGTCTATTCATATACGGTTTTCGATAAGAAAATGATGCTACAAGGTCATAAATTGGGTACTTATTTTCATTGGCCAGCTGAAGAACAAAATTGTTCGATAAGGCTTTTCCAACCACACGAAACCAAGGTTGCAATCCATAACTTCTGCCCTGGTGGCTGATGATTTTGAATGTTGATTTCCATTTAGTCTGCTTCCTATCACACTTGAAACTTTGAAAATCATTCAACGTGCTCAGTCTCTTCGATTGTAGTGTCCCGTATTCAATAGTGAAGTCTGACATCGACTTATCGAATGAATCAAGCTCTTATTAACTAACGTTAGGAACTCGAGTGTCTTCATCAATTGATGTAAAACGAATGGAATGAAAGATAGTTACGTTCGCTTAGTAGCAGTGTCCATTTTGTTGTCCTTATTCTTGCCATCTCACAACTGAACTTCAATACAAATGGAGAGTTCATAATGGTTTCATTGTAATACTCTTATTTTTATGTAGTACATCTTATAGTAATCACATTGTTTGTTTCAAATAAACAAATCCTTATAATATCTCTTCATAGCGTATAATTGTATATAGATGGTCTCATTTACTATTAACCCTGCCTACAGTTCATATATATCTTTATTTCATTTTCAATTTACAAACGCAGGTTATCGTTGCTGTGGATGTCAATGATCTCTATGAAGTGCCTATACGTTTAAATGATCAAAACTTATGTTCTATCCTGTTAGACCATTTCCAGTTAAGTCCTAAAGAGCATATTGAATATCCTATTCTTGGCAAATGGAAAGCATTGACTCGTCAATTGGAATTAGCCTCTGAAACAGTTCATGTCGCTGTTGTTGGGAAATATGCTAAACTTAATGATGCTTATTTATCTTTATTAAAGGTGATTTATTTTTCCTTTTAATTTAAAAAAATCGTCTTTCTCATTCTCTGTTATGCACCCACTCGATATTCAGATGACAGTAATATATCTTGATGCCTTAACCTGTGTGTTTGTGCAAGTGTGTATTCGATGTAACATACATGCCGGTGCATGTGTGTGTGCGCGTAACAAGTCACCTCAGTTGTGATACTAACTGGTTACCCAAATCTCATTAAATGGAGCGATATTCGAACCCACAGCACAACAAATACTGGGCTGTTTATGTATTTACAGGTGTTCTTGCTGTTTTGAGAACATTCCAGAAGGTCATTACCGTTGAAAGTACTCGGTCATACAGTTAGGTGAGTTATCATCCAGACTTCTGTGATCTGAATGATTCTGAATGTTGTGAGCATTAATTTTATTCTTGCACCTAAGCAATATGGTTACTTAACTATAGAACCTGAGGAAAAAGTTATCGAGAAGATCTCTAGCCTCTTTAAGAATCTGTGAAACTGAGTTACGCGTTCCAACTCTAATCCACTTATTAAGGTTTGGCAAGCAAGGTAGTATCACTCAGTAAGTTTACGACAGTCATGCGTGAAACTGTACATAATGGCTGTAGAACTGCTTTTATTGTTCCATTATTTCACAGTATCTATTAGCATAACTTTTAGTTTCCAACAACTGTTTAATTTATGAAATCAATGTTCAGCCATGGCATAAGTTTGTCCCTATGTTAGTTTGGAACGAAAATCGAGTCATTAACGTAATTAATTCCATTTTAGTTGGTTTAATTTTTATATATATATATATATATATATATATATATATATATATATATATCACAGTGAAGCGGTGTTATTTTGATTGTTTTGTGTTCTCTGCGCTGGGTGGTGTAATCGTGAGGCTTTCATTATCTTTCTAGATGACATTATCAGCAATAACTTCAATATGAAGTGACCTATCAATATCTCTGCGTTAGGGATTCAGTAGCTTGCCCTGAAGAAGTGGTTTGTGATTGGTTATTCCCTTTGATTGTTAGTATCATCGACCTCATAGATTTTCTTGCTGTCCGTTAGTCTGCTGACCTCTGACCTTTCTGTTGCTTATTTTTCTTATTGGTTGATGGATTGGGTGTATGTCTTCGCACTTACCGATTACTGTCTGACCTGAATGTCAAGCTTTTGAAAATCCTCTGATATTCTTTGTTTCGTCTGTCCACGATTTCCACACTGTGGAAATTGAATTCATGTCCGTAGAGTTATCCACGTGCATTGAAATGAGCGATGAAATGTTGTGGCGTTTAAAGCGAATTGTTTCAGTTGATTTTGTAATTGATATTTGGTTTATCTTCTTTGGCTGTTTCATCCTTTGGTCTGAATGAAAGGAATTTGTTGGTCTGTGATCCAAAGCAATTCCAAGTGGTCTCAGTAATCTTGTCGTGATCTATGGTGTATTCTTTATGTACGATAGAAAGATCTGTTTTGTTACTTTCTGTCATTTTGATCGTCAAACTGAGCCTCATTTTTTTCATTCCTCCTTACAACTTTCCATCACTTCTGATTTTTTCTTCCTGATTTCACTACCTTCGAGTTTGGTGTATTCTGCGTCAGCTTGCCAATATGACGCTTGGAAATATGAACAGTTAAGTCATGATGCCAAGACCGACTTTGTTGCTGTCTACCTGATAATGCATTGTTATTTTCATAGGTAAGCTTTTTAAATTCCCATTTCGCTGGACTGTTGACAGTTAATGGAAATAGTTAAAACCTAATGGTCACTGATAAAAGGTCGATAGATTATTGCGTTCAAAACAATGTTGTCTTCATTGGAATGAGATATGGTGTATTGAACTGTTAAACGGTTATGTTAATCCCTTTGTTGATATTGAGTTGAATCAAAACTCTGCTTCAGCCTGCATCAGCTTCACTACTTTTATACTTTTATCTCCTTTTATCAGGCTCTACGTCATGCAGCAATTTATACAAACCGAAAACTGGACGTATCACTTGTATGTGCCGAAGATCTTGAAGATAGTACTTGTCTCTCTAGTCCAGATGCATTTCATCAAGCTTGGCTGACAGTAAGTAACTCTGATGCTGTCGTTGTTCCTGGCGGTTTCGGTCAACGTGGTGTTGAGGGAAAGCTGGCTGCTATACGTTTCTGTCGAGAAAGAGGTGTACCATTTCTTGGCCTTTGTTTAGGCCTACAGTGTGCTGTAATTGAATTCGCTAGGAATGTTCTTGGATGGAAAGTAAGTTATTCATCATACTGAATATTTATAGACTATTTAATTTATTACAGCGTATAATAGAAATGCATTTAACGCATATCTCCACTGTGTTGGCGACAAAAGTTGTGAAGTTCGAGCGATTTAGACACGAGTTATATATTTTAAAACGTTGGTTCTATTCTTTCTTCCATCGATAAAAGAAGTCATTATCGAAGGGGAGAAACTATGTAAAATGATTGTGTAGGTTGGTGAAAATTATTTCAGAGTTATCTCGAGTTCTTGGCTATGCTTTGTCGTTGATAATAGAATGCCCACTGTGCTGTAAGCACGTCACTTCAACTCTTCAATTTTCATTATGTAATTTGTCCTCTCCTATCTGCCTGTTACCATTACTGTGTTCTTGGCTATCCTGATTAATATAAATCGACTGTATGGGTTTCTATGGTTCCACCCGCTATGAATACACTAAAAATTAAATTTACTACGAAACTATGGACAACGAAGTGAACCGTTACTGTTACTCATAATCAACAAGTAGCACAGTAAACATATTGATACGTTTCGAAAAGATATGCCGACAGAAAAAACCAACATAGAACCTCGCACAGAAGTGCATGAGTTCAAGTTGCCACGCTCCACAGAAGTATACAAAGAACAAGGGGATAGTAAATAACTAATCTCAAAATAGATAAAGGGGTATTGGATGATAATAAATTTGAAAATTGAGGTTGGTCAGAACATTCCAGCTTTAAAAGATATCAAAGAGTGAATACATCTGCACCATCGTGACTGACTTTCAGCCATTTAACAAAGAGTCTTCCTGTAATCTTAATGACCCTAACCAAGTAGTGTATACCTCCACTCACAGCTCAAACCAGATTTCATGCACTGTGCCACGTCGTAGTTTGACCGTCTGAGACCTCTTCCAACCTAATCCAACTTCTCCTACCATTGTACATCTTGGTAGACGGTGACTCGGCATGTGCAATACTTATTCAAGGCACCTCGGACTCTGAAGATTTACTACCTTATTTACCAACTTACCTGTCTTGCTTATTATCCTTTGGGTAACCTCAGTACTGCTCACATGATTCCACCATACACGAGCTATGCTACGAAGACACCTATGGTCAAGAACCTGTAGTCTTCGCATCTCCTACTTTCAACGCCCATGTTTCACAGCCGTATAACAGAAAACAGCGGTCTGAAGCACGGTATACTCGTCCTCAACCAGGTAGTTGAATATCTCCTCAGTTGTTTCAGAGATGACGCAAGTTGACGAATGCCAAATGGGCCTTCTCTATCCGAGTTGCGATTTTGTCAACAACCAGCTGACGTAACTCCTCAAGTACGTGAAGTAGTTGACGTATCCCACCATTTCACTCCATATCCCTAGACTGGAAGTGCCTGCACACCAGTCCTGGAGCATCATCTTACATGTAATAGGTGTAAATAGCATGTCAAACATAGACAGATTTCTACTTGAGGTGTTCAGAGAACTCATTTCATCGACATCTTCACCTAGCAACACAATATCGTCTGTGTACTCCAAGTTAACCAGATACCCTCCATGGTGTAGACCAGTCATTATGAATTCTAAGCTACCCAATTTTATATTCATTAGTGCATCTAGAACGAAACTAAACAGGAGTGGTGGTAACTGTGGACGTCTCTCCATAAGCCTATACACTGCTGTTTGAGTTCCAGTAGAGAACTGTGATTATCATCACATACTTTTTCTGTACTCCTTCACAGTCAGGCACTTCCACAACTCATCACCGTTGACAGAACCGAATACCACCTTCAAATGAAGATATATGGCAATGTCGGCTGTAGATAGGTTTCAATCAACACTGGACTAAATAGCTGTATTATTTACTATCCTATGATCAGTTTGTTCTGTCCAATTCTTTTATAGATCTTCCACCATTGATAGTGTCTCTTGTGTTCATGATATATTGACTTATCATTTCAAACATTGCAAACATTTAAAATTTCTTATTTATTCTTATGAGGATGCTAATTCAGCCGAATTTGATCCGAATACTACTCATCCAGTGATTATTGATATGCCTGAACATAATCCTGGGATTATGGGTGGTACAATGCGACTTGGACGACGTCGTACACTAATGTATCTATCGGAAATATCTAAATCATACATAGAACGTACGTATAAAAATGTGGAACATAAATTTACTCATCCAAAAATGCCGACATCACTTCTACCTAAATCTGGAGCAGGTGACACCTGTACGATCTCTGAAACATTATGTTCAGATAGTGTAATGCATCGATTGATCAATGCACCTTACTTTGATGCTCGTCATCGGCACCGATATGAAGTGAATCCAAAATATGTGAATGAACTGGAAGATGCAGGTCTTATTGTCATTGGTCGTGATTCGGAAATGGGCAATCGCATGGAAATCATTGAACTGTTACGACCTTTATCACAATCTAAAGACAAATTAATTTCAGAGGTTAATAATCCTATTCGACATCCTTTTTTCGTTGCTACACAATTTCATCCTGAATATACAAGTCGTCCAACTCGTCCGTCAATTTTCTTTGTTGGTTTATGTTGGCTGCATCCAATCGTCTGGACGCTTATGTACACAATCCATTCAGACTAAGTCCTACCCACTTTGTACTGGATGAAAATGATAGAACAGATTCTGTAGATGTATTACAAGTAAGCGTACCCAGAAAACAGAAAGATACAGTGATGGTCAATCTTTCTAGTGGAGGAAATATCAAAACATACAATGCAGACAACACTAACGAATGTACAATTGCAAACTCAGTTAACAATGCTATGTAAATGCATTTGAGGTTAGTTTTCCAGATATTTGTTTTCCTTTTTACAATTCATTATTAGGGGTTCAAATCCCGCTGGAAGTTTTCAAACCAAACAGTATCATTAACTGTCACTTGATAGATATTTGGTCCACTGTCTGATGCACGAACTTGCACTTAGCTGATAAGTTAGATACCAGTGGAAGTATTCACTGTCTAGAAATCTCAATACAGTATGAATCACTTTATATTGCTTCATTCCCAGTGTCTAATTGGCTGACACCAGATCGTTATGTTGATCACTACATTCCATAAAACCGGTCTATGAACTAAGTGGACGTTGTATCGAAAAGATACACCAAATACACTCGCTTGTCATTTTAACTTTTAACACAAACCCAATTGAGCATGGGCATACACAACGGTTTCTTCGAAAGTTCTGGATTTAGATTTGATTGTGTTACGTCCATACTTGTGTAAAATCACCCATACCAACAGTGATAGGGGTTCATGAAGCAGGGAGGATTGTGCTATTTTTAGGGCGACCTTTTTCTAATTCTTTCTGATAATTGAAAACACTATCAACAGATAATCATAGTCATCTACTGGAAACACTTTATTGCTGTCCTACACTGTCCAGTCAGTTTTTCGACTTCACCCTCGGATCTCTACTATAACTGTTTTGATGCCGAGTTGTAAGAACAAACGGAAATACTTAACAATCGTCAGTCAAAAGTTAAGACAATTCAACCCGAGTGATTCGCAAAGAGAAGTCAAAAGACTGGAAATCATTTGAGTTTATAGTATCTCGGAGTAAAACGTTTATTAATGAAAGCGGACCCTATTTATAGGGTTTATAGTAGCCTTGAAAGATAAGGAAGAATTAGTACATTTAAAGAGGCAGGAGCCAATCAGAACACTACTGAGTCATACGAAATGTGACCCATAAGCGGCAAAAGAGCGCAAAGTAAAACAGTTCAAATATACGCAAACTATAAGTATGAAATATAAGGGATATAGGGATCCCTAACAATAACGTAAGCTATTTACACAATAACAGTATATGCGTTTAGTTTTGCCGCTATCCAATAGACCAACCGTTTTGGATTATTGCAATAGGCTAACCCGAGCATTTCTTAAGATAACAAGCCCACCACAGGATAAGGATAAGTAGCCTAATGTAAAGCGTTCTGATGTTTCCTGCAAGCCGGAATGAATGCGCCATTATTCACTGCAATGCGAATATGCACATTCACAACTACTGATGAGTCAAAATAAAGACTGGATCGACATATCAGATTCTGACACTTTTTCTTCCTTATAATCCTTCAGTAAAAAGTTTCGCTCATGATAAGGAAAATGTGAACCGTTGGATCTCGACTCAGTGGCTAAAAATGCCAAAGTGCTCGCTGTAGAACGTGAAGGTTTCAGTTCAACCGCTGGGGAGGGGGCTCGTGGGTGTGCACTTCTGAGGAGTCCCGTACTACGACTAAACGGCTGTTCAGCTCTCCTAGATTTCTAATGGATCTCCAACTGATGTCACTGTGTGATGAATACCAACTTGAGATAAAATGTCTGTTGATAAGTTGATTGACTTGAAATAACTCATTGATATGACTAATCATTTTTCTTACTTTCGATGGCATTTTGACAACATAAATTATTTTCATCTTGTATTTATTTATTGGTTAATCTAGGTAGACTGATCATAATAGGCGGTTTTCTTGAATGAAAGAAAAGCGGGTTATGGAAAGAATCGGTGTACCTGCAGTACTATTTTTTGATAAACTGCATTTTTTGTATGAATAACATTTTTTTTTATCAAGTAAATAAATAAATGCAGTTTCTTTGAGAAAGAGTACTTCCAGCTCAGCTATCCCCAGTACAAACACCATCAACCACCTAGTGTACTATTCTATTACTCTTAATATGACCGATTCAATAATAATTTTTTTAAATGAAATTCCTTACAGTTGTACTCTGTATGAGTTATGGTTCACTGATATAGACAATCAACCCTCAACTAACAGGCGATGATTTCGAGCTTCGGTCAACCTGTCGATATTCGTGTAGCTAGTTAGTTTAATCACCCCTAACGCAATAGGTACGCCTCAGTGCATACGATTGCTTGAATTACTTACTTTTATAAACTTGAGATTTTGATGAATTCTGCTGCAAAATACGCTAACTTCTTGAATATATTGACTGATTGACAAATTCTTCATGATGAAATGTAGTTGCTCCATGTAAGCTTGTAACCATTAAGTTATGCATTGCTTCGAGATGTGATAGTATACCTTAACGCCTACTACTACCACCACCAGCAAACTCATCAGCTAAGTGATTATATCATCTGACTTAAGTTAACACTGTTTTGTTCACAACACAAAAGTACTCAATCTGTCAACTCTAACCACCACTACACATGAAAAACTGAATGGAATTACAATTTTTACAGTTATTTATCGTGCAAGGATTCTTATTCTCCTTTGCTGTAACGATATTTCCCTAGGTATGAGATGAATATACTACTGATTGTAGTAATCAGTTGAAAACCACTAACCAACCACCAGTGCTAGTTAGGTCGACGTGATACAATCACTGAGTGACTAGACTCATTCGTGGATTAATTCAAGTACGAGAAGTGAGTCGTCTACGACTGACCAACAAATAGGTGAACACACTAGTTAGTACTTAGAACCAAAATGTTTTGTGGGATTCTCAGTTGTACTAAGAATGACATATCTAGATTTCAGCCCAGTTACAAGACATTTGTTACAATCAGCAGTTTATATCATACAATGCTGTTTCTGCTTAAACAGCATTCACAGTGTTGATTGAACTACAACTTATAGTCTAAACAGCGTAATTTCCATGATTGATTTACCCTTAGTTATCTTTTTTATTTCAGTTTTCAACAAAATGGGTCAGGTAACAGAATTCAATGACCAAGGTCACTATTCTGTATGATGATGAAAGCGATAGGTTCAAATACATAGGTAATACCTAATGAGTACATGATAAAAGTACATTACGCTTGAATGTCAATTGTACCATGTTGTACAACTACATATGTAATCCAATGATGCTTATTTTATCATAGATTTAAGAGTGGAAATAGTTCGGTTTTCGACAACTTTCTCAGTTCTACAGTTAAACATAAATACTGTTTAATCAAAGCATAATATTCATTTGTGAATACAAAATAATCAGGGGATTCTCTTCAGAAAAGACTGATGTGAACAACAATGTTAGCATTGAATATTACTGAGATCAAGGTAATACTTGTATAAATGACTAAGATTTTTATATATATTCTTATGTAACAACAAGTGTGCGCCGTTACTTGTGATCAGTTTTTGACATGGTCGACTATTCAGACGTGAGATCATGAAGGCCCATGATCATCTAGACAGTGTTACTATAATATTCGAGTAATATTGAACTGTAAATACTAGTGAACAGTATTGTTCGTTATTAGATCAGACTTAGGCTTTCCTATAATATACTTAACCCTCTCTCTCGAAAAAAGTGGTTTCTTCTCGACGGTTACTGCCTCAGGTTTTCTGCTCAATTAGTCTATTTGATTTTTCATAATATTATGAAGAGACACCCCATTTAGACTAATAAATTTCACCCTCTTTGTAAGACGTTTCTTACCATGTAGGTATGGAACCAAAGAGGTGCGTAGATTAATAATATAAATATACCCCTGTTTTTTAGATACTTCTACTAAGTAACCCATCGTCTTGTCTGCTTGGTAGAGCATCAACAATGTGAAGCAGGTTTTCAGTGTTTTTTTTCGCAAGGGAAGTAGCATCTCTGATTTGTTTGGATTCTAGGTTTATGTGCGGCTTGTGGGGGATCTTTTTAAAGTGGCACTGTTGGCTTATCTTGAAATTCAGCTATGGTTTTTGTTGTTGTAGAGATAAAGTTACAGAAAAGTCACATAAAATTCATTCATATAAATAAAGCATTTGGTGAAATATATGGGTGGAACCCTCAAATTTTATTGACTTGTTTAGGCACATAAGTAGCTCTATTTTCATTCCCTTAACAAGGCATTTAGTCCATCAAGTGAATTCACAAATATCCTTTGGTTAACCACCACTAGAGGATCAACATACATCTCTCCAGTGCATTATAATTGAAATACTTACATCTTTTGTCAAAACTTCAACATTTAAAAATTACCAAACGCGTTTTAAACTCGCATTGCAAAACTGACCGACAAAATTCGGTTAGTACTAGACAAGATGAAATTGGTTACCCTCTAGTGACCAATCAATGTGCCTAATCTAATCCCACAGGAGGTCAGTCGTGGCGTGGATAACTCAATGGTAGTATCACTGAATGACATGGGTCCGGGATATCAGTTCCTAGGAGGTTGTAGATACGCCTTACTGACGAGTCCCGATAAACACGAAACCTAGATTCATGGCTTCTTGCCAGTTGCCTCCAACCGACCAACATCTGTTTTGAACTACAAGGAAGGACCGCTTGTCGATTTAGTTACCATACCAAGAGACGTTTGTTTCGAAAGATCTTGCCATGGAATCCAGCCGTCCGTTATCTACTATCAGAATGCTATCCCGAAACTAAACATCAATAACTCATTTTGAAATAATCAAGGAAATTATCTCTTCAAGGGGACAATTTTATTGCTACTTTGTTCTCTGAACTGGATGATTGACTACAAAGTTTTCAGTGTCGTTCTAGATAATATCATCTTCAATAACTTTGCAGAGAGTTATGCTCTTAGAATTTCAACACCAGTTACAAATCAGCCTATCGAGACAACCTTGGTTAACGATATCCAACCATGCTCAAGGTCATCAAGTTAAACGGATTTCTAATCATGAAAAGATCTTCAAAATCTAACAGTAAGGATGTTCAAAATGACTATAAAAACCTAAAGAATCCGATTTATAGAATACACCAGCACTGAAACCAAATACGCATTATTTATCTGAGGGAACCAACTTTATATGATGTAAAGCAATTATTTATAGGAAGTACACTTATATGACGTTTAAGCACTATGCTCATTAGTTTCACTTAATTTGTTCCCTCGAGAGCTGTAACTGGCTAGTCGCTTGTGATTGAAAAGCTAATGCAATGATTGATCTGCAGTTCATCGGCTTAATTATTCGGCCTTTATGCAAGCGACCATCTCGCTCTACCTACTTAGGTATGGCCACCTAGGTAGTATCAATATCCTTCACATCAGATGTTTGGCCTATAGCCTAGCAAATAAATCAGTACCTTATTGGGTTACATCATTATATATTCAGACCTCAAACCCGTTGGTTGCAGGTTCAAATCCGACCGCAGTCAAAATTTTCATTCATCACCATATATAAATACTAGTCTGCCAAACTACAGCTCTCTCAGATACTAAATAAATCAGTACCTGATTAGGCTACATCATTATATATTCAATACCAGAATTACAAACTAGATCTTAAAGAACATAACTATCAATGGTGATGAATTCTTCAGTTTCCCTTGACTCTAGGTGATCGGAAGTAGGCAATAGGAAAGAATAGACCTAAATTTCACGCATATTTCCAACTTCACGGGACTGTTGCTACTGAAGAGATTTGAACGTGCAGCACCTAGTACTGTAATCAAACGCTACCACTGATCATTCTGGCCGACTAACCACCTGGACCAGGGATTAAATAAGTCATCAGGGCGCTTAACGATAGCGAGTGTCCTAGTCTTTTGAGTACATTGTAGGCACTTCCCATAGAATCCGATCAGTAGTAAAAAAAGGAGACAACATGATACTGGTTACTGTCCAGTGAACAGTCCATTTGCATTTCGCTTCATCACTTAGTACTTATTGAAACAGTTATCATGCATTTACTTGATCGTCATATGCTTTCAGTTATTCAGTCGAGTGTGCAGGTGCGTAACTTCACCAAGAAAGTGTTTGCTAACCGAAAGCATCTAGAGAATCTGTAACTAATTTGAAAGCAGCAAACCTTGTTTAAGATGATGGTAGGTAAAGAGGGTAAATTGCAAAATATCAGGTACTGGATTGAACATTGACTATGCCTTTACACAGTAAGATTTAGATTCCAGCATGGAAAGAAAGATAACCTATTGATTGATGTTTCGCCCCAACACGTATAATAACAGCTCACCTTTAAGATTGACCAAGCATTTCATTAGTTAATGTTGGTATACCCATAGAAAGATTACATTTCTGCATTAAATTACTAGGCAAAATAACTGCATTAATAACTGGATGTTAGTAATAGATAGCAGTTATCAAAGGAATTTAGGACGCGCGTTTCGCTCCTTTTGTGACTCGTCAGCCACATGCACCTGCCTCTCACTGTGTTTTGTTGTTCCCACTAAGCAGATACATTCAGCCGACAAGTCCGAAATAGGACAAAATGCGCATTCTGGATTCCACTGCTAGCCACTATCTATCACTAATGTCAAATTTGGAAATACCGGCAATATTGAGGCATCCACAAAGGAGCCCATATACCAATAGTGGCCGGTCATTTCGATCCAATCAACAATAGAGATTTACAAGCTACAACAATAAAGACCGCATGAATAATTGTTTCTTTTTGTCGTTTTTTGCCTTCTCCCGAATTTAAAATGATCCAAAGAAAGGAGAACGTGAGACTTACCTGAATTTATCTGGTTGGAGTACTGTACTTGTTTTTTTAAAAATTTTTCCGACAGCTTGTTGAGTGGTATCACTATATATCTTCGACTTGATCATTATTGTAGACATCTGTGCACCTTTATTCTTGTATTCACATGCATATATGTATATTACTATTATTATGAGTATAGTGAGCATCAACTTTGTCTTGTCAGAAGTTTGGGATTACAAACGAATTGACTAATAATCAGGATGGAGACTGCGTTTACAAGAAGTCACAACTACACGCGAAAATTAGTCACCCATTCAGACAGGTTGTCGACGGAAATAAAATCATTTGTTTTAAAGTCACAACACCTAAGCCATAAGTCTTACAATATCAGTCTTTACTTCCTTACAACCGATAGCAATAGTGTAGGTGAACTATCCAACATGCTCTGTGATTAGTTATCAGTCAGTTTGTTCTACTAATAAAATCACCGATTTCAGATAGTACCTTGATTTACGTGTTATCTGGTCACTTCTAAACTTGAGATATCCTGAAGTTCTAGTGGGAAGCCGTAATCAGTGAGGCAAGCCAAGTCGGATGTGACGACGGATACTCAGCAACGTCATTGGATGGAAGTCGCGCTATATCGAAAACTGACAGTAAATGTGAACCATTCGATCCCAACTCAGTGGCAACGTGGTGATCAAGGAACCCGAAGGTCGTCGGTTTGATCCCTGCCTGGGTAGAATCGTGTATGCGCACCGGTGAGAAGTCCTACGCAATGACAAAACAGTTATACAGTGCTTTAAAATTTCTAATAGTTTTCCGGGTGATATCAGTCCGTGATGAATACTAACAGGCAAAATTGATCTGTTTTACTTCATTTAAATCGAGAAGCTGATATAAGTATGCAATGATTCATTTATTCACAATTTTCAACATTTTATATCTACCTAAGAGTACCTAGTCGTCTTTCAACTGTGTTACTGAAATTAGAACTCAATATCATTCAGGGATAGTTATTGTGTGAAATAACTTGAGTTAACATATTGTCGAAGTATCTTACAGTTACCTACTGTTCAATTTATTAGGTACACTAATTTTTAGTTAAACACCAACTGTAAGCTATGTAATCACAGACAGCAAGTGAAGCATGTTAAGATGTCTGTGAACAAAAATGCTTTGATAACAATGGATCAGGTATCACAGTACTGAAGACCAGGATTCATTTTAAATTAGGTGAAACAATAGTCACTGGCATAAGATCATTAATACCTTCCAATTTTTAGGCAACTATTTGCTAAGATGTGATTTAAAGCACCATTACTACACGGGTGTTTCGTTCAGGTTTGTGGCTCTTCAGATTTTTGTCCACCTGCACATTCAGTTATTAGTAAAATACTGTCGACTCGCTATGAAAACTAAATTGTAGATAGGTTTTTTGCCAAAAATAACAAGTGTTTGTCTCAAAGTATGTGTTAAAACCTTTACATAAACATTCTATCATATGTAAATGGCATAAATAAGAAATATCTAAGAAGGACAGTTTGTCACAAACTATTTTACACTTTTCTGTGCTTAAGTTTATCCCATTCATCGAGAAGTGATAATTCTTCTAATCATCTCCATCCTCATCATCACCACTACCACCTTCTTCTTCCTCTTCTTCTTCTTCTTCTTGACCTTCTTCAGCTTGACGTAGAGCAGCTTCAGCTTGTGCAGCTCTCCAAGCAGCTTCTTCTTCAGGTGTTGGATCATCAACTTCTGTAATTTCTAGTCCTGAAGGGAATTCTTCGAATGGTTTTGGCATCAACTGAGGATTAAAATTCATTCCGGTATATTTCAGTCCCCATCCTATATAGATATTCTCAAAATATCTGAAAATTAACAATAACAACTGTATTCTGAACAATATTTCAGTATATTTTACAGAATACTGGGCACATAATAACTTAACTAGAAAAATAATTCACTTCATTTGCCACTTTTTGAAAGGGAAAGGAATGGATATTATGCAAAAATATAACTCACCAACTCTTGCAAAAGACTATGAGCCACACCTATTATATGATGCTTAACCATACTGTAATGGGTGCTGCTAAACAGGATGGATATAAGTAGTATATATTGAGAGGGTGACAGAAATCATAGACAATTACGAGCAATGGGTAAAGATTCTGCCCAGAGAAACACAACAGACAATGTGGGCATTTTAAGAACAAATTAAGATAGAAGCAGAAGGGGAAATGAAGCATATTGTTCAAATGACCATCTTATTGGAAAGTGTACAATATTTGATGACCCTTGTTCAAGATGTCAGTGATAAACATTCCTTTCTTCGTCTTGTCATTTCCTACAATACTACCAAATTGCATATACTTTGGTAGATGGAATAAGCTTTTTGACCCATGTGGTTGAAAGTCGAGTGCCTAGACTAATAATCTATTGCTTAACAATAGAAAAGAAATAATTATTGGTAAGAACCATAATGATAACAAGACTCTGAATGAATGGATTACGCCAAGTTATATAATTATTAATTCCATTTATTGTAACACAGTTTACTGATAACTTCGTTACTAAGGTATATTGGAGTTTTCTTTTTGTATTTAACAGCAGCTGCATAAAGCTCTAGGGATTTCCTCATAACTAAGTCTAGCTAGAGAAAAGGATGATTCTCATCTGATTAAATAACTAATACCCGTTGTTTATATGAATAAAATATCTGTCTACAAAGGGGTCCATAAAAACAGTCAGAGGTGTATCAATGATTCTGCTAACAATAGTCAAAGTATTTCAGTTTGGGAGGGTTTTTGAGGACTGATTGATTCCAAGATAGTATTCACCAAAAACCGATATCAGTAACAGAACCACTGAAAACATGATAGCACTAGATAGCTACTTCATCCTAGTATGAATCTTCTTAGCAGTGCTCACCCAGTACCATAAGATTTCACACCAACCAATTGATCATCCATCCACTGAGTTGGAATCAAATGGATCACATTTTCAAAATTCTTTCATTTCGTAATATAATTTCACCTAGTTACAATGCCATCATTAAATATTTGTTCTCACGTTCAGATTAGTTTGCCTAACAGGTTATAACTTGTCATTAGGACTTTGGGACATCTTATCTCAACCAACACTAACAAGCATTGGGCAGTATTTCAGTTTGAAGTTCTGTGGAAAATGGTTAATTTCAGGAATAAATTGAATTAATTTACCCATTCTTCAGTATTTATTGTCATAATGATTCATAATTAGCCATCTTACAAAGCAGTTAACAAATGAAACGGTTAAACGACGTGTTCTGAGGGTTTAAAAGCTTTGAAACAGACAGTTAATTATAGCTAGAATCCTACCTAATCTGGCTTATTTCTTATAAAACACCTTAGGGTTCTTCAATGAACTTTTCTTTACATAGAGGCGTATATTGTCAATATAGGATAGGAATTTATTGTATGATAGTCTCTGTAGCCACATCTACCATCACCAATTCAAGATACAAAGCAAAAGTCAAAGGACTGAAAGTTCTGTGATGCAAAATCACAACAACAAAATTAATAAGAAAATTTAAAGCCAGCGATGAAACCTGATATTATGATTCATATGGTGATAAGTTAAGGAGTTTCTGCAGTCGTTCAACTAAACTCATACAAGTTATCGAAATCACATTGAACAACTAAAAGATCAAATTAATGAAGCACAAACAAATATTCCTAATAATCGATGAAAGCTAAACTTAGATTAAAAATCGTGAATCAGATGGAAGCTTAAGAACACCAAAGAAGTGAAAAGATACAAATAATAAACTCGCGTGTATCTTGCACTTCTTTTAATCATCCACTACTTTGAATACCGAAGAGGGTTGCATATTTTTACCCATGATGAAACATTTGTCTAGGCTTGTTACACAAGAAAACTTGATATCATATATTATTCAAGTAGGGATCAACATAGAAAAACAGAGATGATCATAAAACTAAACATAATTTTATTAGAATAATCGATACAGACTAATATTCTTCAATGATGCCCTGTTTTGTCAAGAACAATTAATTACATTACATGTTACTGGTGAATTTGAATTACTCACAAATTTATGTCACAGAATATATCATCCAGAAAAATTGTCTTTTCCATGAATAATTTACAATAGCTTTACTATCATACTTAAGTATTAACAAAGAAATGATTCGTTGTAGAGAAAATTTCTCTCGCTGAATAACTTTATACTAAATGAAGTGTCTTGTAGCGTCACACATTTCCCAGAATCAAAAGCTTAGGGTTCGACGAGATTCAACATTGATGCTGACCTTGATAGTTTAACTGGACTTGCTAAGCTGAAGGCACCCGTTTAATCATCCAGACCATTTGTCACGTTGTCGTATTACGTTTCAATGCTCGTAATCGATTCTCTAGCCAGTTAGTTGAAACGTATTGGTATCCTGACACGACCTAGCAAATATACTATTTCATCCGACTACGCTATTGTGTTCTTTCTTGGTCTCGTATTCGTGGGTAATAACAAGTGACTGACCTCTGTATCTGTCAAGTTCGCAGAAGGACAAATCCTAAAGTCTTACTTAATAAGCTTTCTTCTGGTCATAATATATTTTGAATTTGTTAAGGCTTATACAGAAAGATAACTGAAGGTGGTTTACAACGTGAATCATGATGCGATGTAATCCAATCGAATACGCTTTACTTTCCTGTATTCTAGCTATTGAGGCAAAGAAAAAGCATAACTCATCTGCTCTAGCTGCCTTGTAAAGAACTCATCCTTCCTTTTGTGCACCTAAACACTAAAGATATTAATTATTACAAACACTATGACCATTATTTATTTTGTTTCATTCTATGTGGTTTACATAACTTTTGTTTAGATTTCACTTAATAGTTTTATCCTGTTGGTTGTTTTGCTGATAAAACTACCTCTCCCAGCTTCGATTTTGATATCACTGTGACAGTACTTACAGTTTATAAAATTGACAACGCTGTCGTCTTTACTCTGATGAAGATTTAGAAACAACTAGGTTTATATAAAGTATGAAGAAACCTCGTTACTGATGAAAATGAATCTCTTTCTCAACAACTTACATGCAAGACTTAAATACGATGATGTGAGTAAACACTGCATCTATTGATTCAAAAATCCACTTCATATAAGTTCATGAAACCATTTTATGCTATACGCTTTGCTAATTCATAAGAGCTGCAACTAGACTATACAGTTGGGTTCGTATTTATTTACTGACAGGTTTCAAGAATCAATCAATTACAGTAAGGAGTAACTGATACGTGATCATTGTTTTCATACAAAACAGGAAGATAGTTTTAGATTGATTGGCAATATATCACTGATTGTCTAGTGACCGTGTCTTTTAATACTGATACAGTATTATTTACTTGATGACACATCCAGTATACATTATCATTGCTCATTATCATATCAATGTAATCACAGCGCTTTCAACCAACATCTCATATTCTTTGTTTTATTGCTTATAAACCTTTCCATTATCTCTGGTATAGATGTTGTGTCATTCCTGTTGCATGTGTTCGGTGTTGGTTGATTCGATGAACCAAGATTCAGTGATCAATCAGTCATACAGTATTATTTACATGATGACGTATCAAACATACATTATTGCTCACAAATATGTCAATGTAACTACACAGCTTTTTACATCTTATTTTTATAGTTGATCATTCTATATTCTTTGTTTTCGGTGGTAGTAGAGATTGCGACATCTTTGGTATAGGTGTTGCATCACTCCTGTTACATTTAATTCGATGAACAAAGATTCAGCTATCAATCTTTCCTCTTCCGAACTAATTACAGTGGTTTTATCCCACCCTAATGCGTGGTTGTATGATAATGCATGCATTGCAAAAGTTGAGTTTTCTTGTAGATTACCGATCTTATTCGGGTGTGTCAATCTATATTTAACTAAATTCCTATGTTCCGATAATCTGACTGACCCCGACCAGTTAGTCTGACCCATGTATTTGACCTTACAGTCATTACATAGAATTTGAAAGATTAAGTTATTTTTCTTAATTGCGTCTTTGGAACAATTAGTCCATTTTATGAATTTTGACAGTGTAAGACGGATTTTATCTGAACAATGTGATTGCATTTGCGCAATAGATTTCGAACAGTCTGATCCCATATTTATTTGTCAATTTATATTAAACTGAAGGGTGGGGGGGGACTAATATCACAATTAAGATAATAGAAGATTAAAATTAAGAAAGATGAGAACAGACACTAAGTGACATAGTTGGTCCTAATCTTGGTAAGAAAACAAAGCTTAGCAATCAAGGTTGGTGGAGCGTAAGGACAAGTTGTTTTCTACATATATAGGTGGTTTCAGTTTGCGTACGCTATCGCTTCTATTTGTTTTCCCATACTTCGGTTTAATATAAATTGACTTGATAAATAGGTGGGTGATTTAACTGGGTCTATTGCATCCCTAGTTGACAAAGCTTACCTCTGAGTAAGTCTAAATGCAAGTTTACGCAGAATTCTCAACAACGCTGTTGTTAGGATGCCATTCAAAAGCTTTTCCAGCTTAAGGATCCAATAGACCCAATATTATTTCCATCTTGATAAGTTTCTTTACATTACTACTTAAAACATTAGGTAATTCCTTTTTTCCTATCTCCTGACCTATAATCAAATGTGAACTTCTTACTATTCATTGATATACCTATAATTCTTCGTTGTTTCATTGAATCAAATTATTTGACCTCTATTGGCATATGAGCACCTATGCGGAAGCCTCGATATTGCCTGAATGTCAGTTATAATGGAAGTAGAACAATTCGATCCAATGAAAGAACGGAGAATTACGACTATATCAATGAATAGTAATGACCACTACCTGTTGTACAAGAAGTGGTTATCGTTCCTCCGTAGCATACTGGATATAGCCATGGTTTTTGAAGCGATGGGTAACAGGATTGAGTCTCGGTGAGAACAACATCACTCATTGGGGTGCAGGTACATCCAGCCAACGAGTCCAAAATAGGACGAAAATCGTGTCCTGGATTCCTCTGCTAACCACAACCAACTAAATTACCAAATGTGAACTTCGTTCAAAATATTTCATTAAGCATTGCTTTTCCGTTATTATGTGAATAAAATATTCATGTGTTCGTACAGTTTGAGAATGATATCGCTGAAAAGAGTGACTCTTCTTTCATCGTCTTTCTAGACGGTGAAAGCTTCGCAATTAAACAACCCAGATCAGAGAACATAATACAACCAAGACCATCCACTTGAGATGTAAATATTGTCCACCATTTCAAAGTGGCTTTTCCCTATACGTCTTTTTCCTTAAGACCCAATTAAGCAAAATAATTTGATCTACCAAATTCCATGTAATCACTGCAAGGTCAAATATATAGGTCAGACTAACTGGTCGGGGTCAGTTAGGTTATCGGAACATAGGGATTTGGTTAAATATAGAATGACAAACCCTAATAAGATGAATAATCTAGAAGAAAGCTCGGCTTTTGCAATGTCTGCAATAACACACAACCATGCAGTAGGGTAGGATAAAGCCAAAGTACTTAAGTCTAATATAATTAGGTGGAGAGCGAAAGCGATTGATAGCTGAATCTTTATTCATCGAATCTACACCCAAACACATGTAATGAGAATGATTCAATAAAATATTAGAGATATGGAAAAGTTTACAACCAATAAAAATGAAGAATATGAGATGTTGGGTGAAAGTGGTGTGATTACATTGATAATGATAATGAACAGTGATAATGTATGCTGGATATGTCATGATGTAAATAATCCTGTATCACTGTGTGCTATATAAGATAAATAAATCTAATGGAAAATTACACAATTGTATACCTTAATGAAAACATAATAACCAATAAAGCGTTTATTTCAAAAATGTAGATGAAGGTCCATAGATATCCTTCAAAATGTGACTAGTCAGTAGAGTGAAAACATACAACAATAAATGTTTAGATTCATTTCGCAGGAAAGCATGGTTAACCTAGGTTTCGTGATGTACTGTCCGGTTAGCGATTTTTGTAAGACTGATCATCATCTGAACTGTTTGGTGCCAAACCTTTTGAATTTCGCAATGGGCGATACAGGTTGGTATACTCGAGGTAATAAATCGTTATTTAACCTTATAGATAGGCTTCACTTATTACTGCTGACAGACAGCTAGGCACACAGGCGAAAGCTGCTACCTTAACGTAGTGGTCAGACTTGCTTATCACAATGACCCAACGAGCTACACTAGCTGAAACACTTGTTCCCTCAAGGTCCTGCCATGCTAAGAAGGTCTGTTGGATAGTGGTAAGACGAAAAATGTTACCTTGGTGTAAACTGCTATACTTCACGGGGATCGGAAGGCGAAGTCCTACTGCCGATTGGCCGGATAGGTTGTGATACCAGCAAGGTGTTTCCCTTGGATGACCAACATTGCCACGCTGATGCTATCTTCCCAATGGAAGGTAGATTTAGGAAGCGTCGACCCCAAAAATAGCACACTCCTTGCTGCCCTACGGTCTTCTGGTACCGGGGGTAAAGGTTTTCTCTGTCCGGTGTTTGAACAATTAATTCTCACACCAACAATACGCCAAAGGCTATGTGTGACAGGTCTCAAGTAGATATCTCACTGAATCTGAGGTCACAGTAATCTTTCTCTCTCTTAAGTACTTGGTGAAGAAATAACCTTCCATGGTGTATGGAATCAGTGGCTGAGGACTGAATCTTGGTGACATGGCTGAAAGTGGGCACAGAAGCGCAGATGTATTCACTCATTGACGTCTTCTAAAGCTTAAACATTTGCACTAACCGTTACCTTTAGATTGTTTGTTTCCTGACTCATCTTTTTCTATTTTGATATCACTCTTTTTCTATCCACCTGTTCTTTGTATACTACTGTGAAGTTTGGCAACTTGAACCCATGCACCTGTTTTCGGGTGCACCTGTGCGAGGTTCTACGCTGAATTTTTCAGTCAGTCAGTCTGTTTGGTAGACTTGATCCACAATTTGCTGTTGACCAACTCCAAATATGACACAACTTCTACCTTCACCTGTGATAATCATCTCGGATTTTCATCTGTCAGTGTATGTTTGAACATCAAAATATTTTTTTAAGCACAAAAGTGTTCCAGATACTTACTTGCCTTGTGCTAAGGCATGTGCACCAGGCCAGACATTCGATGATAGTACAGCAAATGCATAGTGTGGTACTAATTGTGAAGTAATACGAGTTGACCATGGTGGAATACTACCGATTTCAGCATCCTCTGATAACGGGGTCAATAGTGGAGGTCCTGTTTCTGGTTCAAGTTCATCAGGTTCCTCTTCTTCATCTTCAGACATTTCATCTTCTAAGTCGTCACTTGATTTAGCTGTCGTATTAAACCTTAAATTATAAAAGTAGGATATGATGTTATTTTTTAATCGTTTGAGGGATTAAGTGGTGATTAAATGATTAGTAAGCATCCCACTTAGTTGTGTCATTCACAACTCGGACTACGAATTTCGTAAGAATCTGATTTGATTTTGTGAGTCATCAGGTTACCTAAGTAGCTTTCTAGAACTCTGCCAGTTTTAACGACCTAGCTAGACATGGTAAATCAGTCTGGGAACACTGCCTATAAGCTTAGTTTCAAAGGAAAATTGGACTATCCCTTATTTAGATTACCTCAATATGGCACTGATGATCGGTATGAATGGTCTACAATTGCTCATGTCAGTTTACAGTGTACATCGAAAAGCTTTCGTGCTCATGATTTCAGCGCCATTCATGGTGTCACGGAGATAACACACTAATTGCTGAATAGTTCGGTTTCCAAGATTAATGGCAATGTGCTTTTACATTGGGTCTCGTCTTGTCATGCTATTCTCACCTTGGACTGTGTGTATATTATAGCATATTAATAAATTCATAATAATAATAACAGCAGTTAGATTAATAGCTGCAGTGCTGCCAGCATTATTATTATTATTATTATTATTATTATTATTATTATTAGTAGTAGTAGTAGTAGTAGTAGTAGTAGTAGTAGTAGTAGTAGTATTAAAGTACTCTCATGTGCCTACTTGGTATGCACAGATAAATGTGAAATAATCGACGAATTATGACTTGTTAGCCTCATTATTTCTAATGCAACTACTATTGAATGCTTCAATTCTGTTATTATACGGGAAAAGTTAGAAAGGGAGTGCCTATGATATGCATATATGCATCACTTCCTCCTGCCTCTCCTCACAACTCACCAGATGAGCGTATCTTTCCTTTTAGAGATTTTGAAGTGAATCAAAGACTAATTCAGTTGAATCCCTCAGAGGCTGGTAGATATAAACTGCTGAGAAGTTAAGAAACGGTTACATAGTCCTCTAAGGTTTCCAATGATCGTCTAGTTGATGTCGAAACAACCTTGAAAGACTAACTTGCTTGTACCACATTGTTACATATCATATAACCTTCCTTCCTAAACCGTTAAGCACCTTCATATCTAGTGTCACCAGGTAAACCATATTTCGCTTCTCAACTCGTTACCTTTCACTGAGGTCATAATCCCTATAATATTTGTCTTCAATATCAACAGGCTAAGTAATATACTGGTAATTGTTACACTCGCTTAAACTGAATTGAGTATGAGTAGCTGGTAACAATATAACCAGATTCTTAAAGTTTTATCCTAACCACGATGAGAAATACTTAGTAAGTTGTATTGACAACACCAACGGATGGTTAAAGTAGCCAGTAAATGGTATCAAATCAAGTTCTTACAGACTACACAGATCGAGGTAGCATTTTAACGATCAGTTAAGACTTGAATGTGAAATATTACAGTGGATTTCTCTTTAGATCATTTTTCAGGCCATAAAATATGATTCACTTGACACTGTAAACTGCATTAAAATTGCAACATGAAATGTGTACACCATGCATATCAACCACTTGAAACCAACCCTACCAAAAAGTTCGACAACCAGACTAATAAAGCCTTGAACAAACTCTTCAGAGCAGAAGAAATAACAAAGCAAGACAAATGGCGAATGAAACCGAATGGACTTGTCCTTCCTCGGTTCTGCGGCAGACCGAAACTACACAACCAGACATCCCTCTACGACCAATAGTCTGACTTCCGGGAACTCTAACATACAGAAAACTAAAACATCTCATTTAATCATGTGGGCATTCGATTAAATCACCAACAGAATTCTTAGAAAAGATTAAAAGCATTAATATAGAAAACGACGAATTAATGGTATCCTTCGATGTCACACTTCCATCGAACCCCAATTGGCCAAAGAAACTATGTTCCTCCTGCTCACTGAAGACACAAGCCTTACAGAACATACAAAACTCAAATGTTCAAGTCTGATGGAACTCATCGACCGTTGTATGACAACATACATTCAATTCAACGGCAAGATATACAAAAAGATGAAAGGAACTCCAATGGGATCACAGATATCCGGACTAATTACAGAAGCAGTGATGCAGAGACTGGAAGCCATCATTCTGCCGTTGATTAGATCAAAAATTTGGATTCTATATGTGGACAACACTTTAGTCATCATTAAAAAAGATAATATACAAAACACAGTTTGATCAACCACGTTTTCAATGACAGTAAATTCACAACGGAGAAGGAGTCAAACAAGCAACTACCATTCCTGGATGTTTTAGTCAGTAGGACAAATGCCGGGAAACTGGAAACTCAAGTGTACAGAAACACAACACACACTGATCAAATCCTCAATTACAGTAGTAACAACCCGAGAACGCAGAAAACTAGTTGCTTGCAGACTCCATTCAAAAGAGCGAGAACACAATGCAGTACAACAGCTTCATGGAGAAACGAAGCAAATTACTTGATGTCTATCCTACAGAAAAACGGCTACCCACGAAACTTTATCAGAAGATGCCTATCCCGTACAATATCAACTACAAAGTCATCGATAGAAATCAACAAACGCGCCACTCTACCATGCATAAAGAGTACATCAGAAATCATGACAAGATTACTGAGACCACTTGGGATTGGTGTGGCTCATAAACCAACAAATTCCCTCCAAACACTATTATGCAGGCCAAAGGATGCAGCAACCTTCGTCTACGAGAACACCAATTGGCTATTAAACGTCACGACATTTCATCACTCATTTCAATGCATGTGGATAATTATGGACATGAATTCAATTTGGACAGTGTAGAAATTTTGGACGGAGGAACCGCAAAGAATATCAGAGAATTCCTAGAACCTTGGCATTCAGGTCAGTCAGTAATCAATAGATGTATAGACATAAACTCAATCTAACAAGCAATGAGAAAAATGATAAATGACAGGACGGTCAGAGGTGAAGCAGAGGAACAGCCAACAGGAATATATATATATATATATATATATATATATATATATATATATATATATATATAATATATATATATATATATATATATATATATATATATATATATATATATATATATATATATATATATATATATATATATATATAGTCAATGATATAACAACTAAAGGAGACAACAAATCACAAGCCAGTTAGTCACGGCAAGCTACTAATTCCCTCATGGAGAAATGTTGACAGCTCACTTCATAATGAAGTTAGTGCTGAAGATGCCTAGAAAGACGATGATCTCCACGAGTAAACAGCAGCTCAGAGAATACAATACAACCAAGATAATATGCTGTTAACATGTTTAATAAAAATTGTGTTCATTTCAGTATTCTCACTGGCATAAAAAATGTCTGATGTATGATCAATTTTCTAAAGAAATAAGGATACAATTTTAGCTTTTAAGTGGATGACGAAATTGAGCGGTCGTCTATGGAGAGTTTGACCATGAATCACATAACTATTCACACAAACACAAATCACGTGTTCTAACTTTTCTTACCTTACCACTCAAAATAATCATGTGACTTACCAGACTGTTCGACCTTGAGGCAGTATATATGCTGTATGATGAACCCAATTGGCTAAGCTGGTGTCAGTTAAGTCGTAAATTGTCATAGGCTCATATTCAGAATTTTCAATAAAATTTTCACGCAAAGCATCTTCTTCTACTTCCTCTTCTTCATCTTCATTAAACTGATAATAATTGATCGGGGATATCATAGTTGATCCAGATATACGTGCAATCTGTGCTCGAAGGAAATTTTTCTCCACTCCTGGAAATGTTGGATTTGTATTGACTTCAGCTTCTAAATCTCCAGTACAAAAGTATCTTATCATACGACAGGTTACAATCTACAGAATGTATAAAAAATTCTTATAACACCTTCTGTTTGGTGGACCATTCAGAATAATTCTGGTAATTTATAGCAGTTACTTAATATGAAATGTAATTTATTTCAAATGTCACGTTCTTATATTTCGATACTTTCATGCTACTTGCTAATTGTAAGTAGTATACATCTTATCTGTAATTTTAAAGTTTCGTGTCAATGTTTTAAACCTGTCAAACTCAGTTTTAGCCTTTTGACCGCGATTGCGTCGGCATAAAAATACAAAGTTGGAGATAAGATTAAAATTGGACCTCCTTCCATCTTCCAGCTCCACAGAAGTATTGAAAACAACCAGAGACTTTTTGAATAAAACAAGCTGTACCAGGCCACACATTTCGAAGTAAATCCATTCCGATACTATGAACCGACATTCAAATGAATGAAGCGATTGTCTCGTGATAAGACCATATTTTCATGACTGGTGAGCAACTACTGATTGCTGGAGTAATTTGAAACTACTCGTATCACTTACTGCTAAACATCTTGAAAGCTTTTTATATCTGTATACTGGTCCTATCAGAAGGTCAAGACAATTTTTTCGCTTCATCTGAAGAATGCTTGCCTTTCTGCCCTCAAATACATCCAACTTTGGAAATTTGCTCAGATAACCGATTGGGAAAACTTTTTTTTGGTTTTTAATCTAATACTTCATGATTTCTTCTGGAATACTCCATATGAGTATCCAATGAATCAGGTGCTAAAAGATATTATGAGGATCGTGTCCACAAATTTCGAAACACCAATACCAGCCTTAAAGGAATATTTATGTAGTCTACCAATATTTTACATCAGCTGCTCATTATTAATCTTGGTGTTGTTCATCGTCTAATGCAGAGTTGTATATGGCTGTTGATCGCATAATGTTCATACTTAATTTCAACTAAAATTGAGATTGGACAAGGGTAAATCAATAAAAACTATACAGGGAAAAGAAAATGAAGAGTTTCATTCAAAAGGAATCAGGAGACCTACCTTGGATGGTACAAAGATGTAACAATATGTCAGTACCACACGAATTGGACAAGGAGATTAAGTACACGTATTTCGATTCATGTATGTATCCTTGATGTTTTAATTGTGATTATTTCGCTGAAGAAGCTTGGACCAGACTTCCATGCAAAATGTTGGAACTATTTCATTTCAAACAGTTCCCAGTTCCCTACACAAATACTGAGCATATCTAGTGTCAAATTTTCACTCAACTCCCAATACTTCCTACACTATTCGATCAGATCTTGATCATATTTAACCCTAACACTAAGCGAATAAGTAGTTTTTGTGACATCTCAAGTTGCCCTTCCTTTCTCTAGTCCTTTTTCTGCTAAAACTGATCAGATTTATGCATGTATTCACATGTCAGAGAAACAGACAAATCGACTTATAACCTGGGACAGTAGTGCATCAGTTTGAGTTATTGTGTTTCACAGCGATATGCAAATAAAAAGTGGATTCATGAAAAATAATTTTGAAATAAACAAAATTGTATGACAGTAAAGAGAACACAGAAAAATGAAACTTAATTCAAATGTTAGAAGACGTCAAAGAGTTAATAAATTTGCACAATGGAAATCGATTTTGAGACACACGAACAAGAGTCAACAGCATTCGATTCTTTTTATTTCTAGGACCCACGCCAGCCAGCATAGATTTCCCTTAGATCAATATTCAGAAAGTTCATGGACTTGATCTGTCTTGATCTGGTTGTCGTTAACCTACTTCCAACCTAATCTTACCGTAGCTAAGATTCAGGATCAAGTTAGTTGTAGCTCGATATGAGGAGCGAACGTCCAAGTCGCCTCAATCGTTTAAAGCTCAAGGCCTCATTAAATGACTTACACTCCTTGCCTAGTACTCTGCTCCTAACATCAACATTCTTCCTATTGCGATTTCCCCACATGTTAGCAGGATTAGGAATCCACAAATAGTAAAATAACTGTACTGTAACCGGTCGATATCTTCTGCTTCAGGCAGTTAGGTCTCCCAGATGTATAATAGTGCAAAGCGAACTGCTGCACAGTATATTTGTCTTTTGTAATGTAGACGTAAATACATTCCACCACTCCACTCCCTAGCCTTAACATAGGATTCTGCATAGATCGGTCAGGAGACAGAAATTTATATTTAGGTAGCACAAAATGAATGCTAGAAATGTCCAGATTATTGCTCAAGGTGTTCAAAAACCCCTCCACCATGTCAGCGTCTTCTCCTGACGTAATTACACAGTCTGAATGCCCTAAACCAAAGAGGTGCCTTCCAATGAGTTAGATAATCCCTGAGAGGTGGAAGGTACTGAGGCTTACGCCCATCAGGAATTCAATAAAAAACTAAAAACAACGATAGCAACAACCAGCATCTTCCGTAAGCTTACGGGTATGTCATCTAAGTCCATTAGCATTTGAAAACTTGACGGATTACTCAATATAAACAGGCTAGTGCACATTGAAGTAAGATTTATAAAGTTATATTTTCAGAAAAAAATAAAGGATCATATTAAATTTTGATTTCAAGCGAATAGTGATCAGAAGGCACTATCCTTCAAGTTAAGAGTTTGTGATATGACTTCTGGAGATTCCACCTCATTCGCATTTCTGCCGTGTAAACAGTATGTCTATCGGAGCACGAAGCACACCTGTATACTAGCCAGTTACTCCTGACTCATTTGTTACTGGTGAATGATTCAGGTCCAAAGAAAAACTTGAGTCAGTTACATCTGTTCCCTATGAACTGAAAAACAGGTTAAGAAAGGCAGACAAAGGTCATGGAACCTTGATATGGGTGAAAATTTTGTGCATTGTTGGGAAAATTAATTTGTGATAAATATATTAGTAACGAATATTTACAGTTAAAATATTTTGGAATCTGTTCATATTTACTGCTTCAAAGAAGGTTAGAATCAAATACTGTGACTCTTTGGAGTTCCTGTAAAACCTAATGACAAAATGTATGAAATTATATCGAGGAAGTCCTTTGAAGTTTCTCTCTGTGTTCTCAACAGACTTACATCGAGGGGATAACCGCGACACGTGGTCATATCAATATTATACACTGAAGATGGTTCAGTATAAGAAGCAAAATAAGATCTGTCCGAATTCAAATTATTTTCACATTACCTCACTTGAGTATTCTCGGAAGACCTTAGTGAATACTAGGTAATTTTACCTGAATATGAATTGGGAATAAAACTAATTCTCAGTGAGTGTGCTACATTTACTCTAGAACCTCGACTAGGGCGAGTTCAATGGCCTAGCTGAGGTAAGTCATCAAATATAATCAGCGTTAGTGGACATCATGACACAAAGGTTGTTATTGTTTAATATGCAAATGAATTCGCGAAAATCACGGAAAGAATGGAAAGGTACTGCTATCAGCCCAATGCATAAAACGGACTTTGGCATTTAGTCACATACTGCCATCCAGTCTAACCAGCAAGGTTGTCAAGCTACTAGAAAGGATCATTCATGGCACAGTTCTGAAATATGCTGAAAATAACAGATTTCTGGCTAATGAAAAGTAAAGTTTCAGGACTATCCACTCTTTCCTGTTATACCTCACTTTTGTAAGACAGGAATGATTAGAATGTGTCAATTTAAACGTACCTATCGAGAAGATGGAGTGATTCTGGATCGATAAGGAAGTGAGGGACTGAATTAAGGACATTTTCACTCAAAGAAGACCGGGATGATGCGATACTGTTTCGAGAGGGGACCGGTGAAGAGTGACGTGCCACAATGTACAATTTTAGGCCCTGTATACGTTCTGGTCCATGTCAATGAACTAAATGTACAATCATTTTATCCTATGTTACTCCAACAAAAAACTTGGAACCACTAGCTGAATATAAATTTTAGTTGGAGGTAAACGCTAATAGGCTTCTAGTTGTTGTACAGCCATGACGATTTGCATAAGTACACAGTTATTTATGTGTCTTTATCCTAGGTTTCCAGGTATAAAGATTTAGAAGTCATAATAAGTCATAGCATTTAAACCGCAGAAAACAATAATGTACTAGCTGAGAAAGCTCTACGAGTCTTATGGTCCCATTTAGCGCTTCGGTGACGATATGTTTAGGGCGGTATATTCGACATATATGAGACTCTATTTAGAATGCGAGATTTCAGCAGCGACTCCATGTTTTAAATATGAAACAGATGTGTGAGAATGAGTTTAATGAGTAAGTACTAAAAGGGGTCAGTGGTGTTTCCAACTTACTTTAAAAAGAACATTTAGATCAACCTGGCCTATTTCCACTATCTTGTCGTAGATTGAGAGGAGACCGCAAACTAACCTACCGGATTCGAATTTTTATTTGGACAATAGTTTCTCTCCTTCAGGACTGATTATCTGACAGAACATCACTGAAAAGTACAAAAACCTTGATCAGATCATCTACGCGTGGAAATCCACTTCCCATACCAAAGTATCAGAACAAACTGCTTTCACACCTTCGATTAGCATTCCTGAAGCCAGGGCTGTTTTTACATCATTCAACATTGCAACGTTAAAGGTTCCTTAACCTGCCATTCTTGATGCTGGAAACTTGAAGCACGAAAAATCATTTTTGGTGTCTGTCTAAGTATATCAGAGATGATATGATAAAGTAAGTACCAAGAGCTTTACCCTCTTTGCATATAACTGAAACACTCACTGTACTTTCTACTTATTTTGAAACCAAATGTAATACTGAAAGTGAACCAAAAAATTATATATGTTTGGGGCATAAACATTTACTTGCTCCGGTGTTACATCAGGTAGTCTGACCCATTTTCCTCCAAGAGTGTTACAGACATAATATGCTTTTCTGTTGGTGCCCTTTCCACTTTCTTCAGGAGGTACAGGTGGCTGGATTTTCCATTCAGACTTCGGAAGAGGATCCAAATCTAGTACTGCCAATCTTTCACTGAGCTCGGCATCTGATCTTACAGTATTTTCGTCATCCCTTAGAGTAGAATGAACCTTAGGCGTTTCAAGAAGCTTGGAAACAGGTTCTAATTCTTCAACCTCCAAAACATAATAACTTTTTGAAGTCCCAAAATACTTTCCCCAAAATCTAATAGTGTTTGACGGAGTATTTTTCAAAAACAGCCGGAGTGATAACAACAGGCTAATAACTTCTTCCTGAGGAAGTCCTTGAGACATAAACTAATAGTGACAGTGTTTTGACATACCTATACCTGCTTGTTCTAGAGCAAAAAACAGCTTGGGCAGGTTCGGTAAATTCGCTTGCCTCGAAGTGTCTCTGGGATTAAACTAGACAAATAAGAAAAAGTAATTGGGCTTCTGATAAACGAACAAACCGAGAAAAAAGGTTTGTGAAGTAATGCCAAGTCCAATTCAGAAGACTTCTCTTTAGCATTCTTCATCAACGTTACATCTGCAGAGCACTCGTACCTCTTTAACTTTCGGCTCAAATTCTCAAGTTCAATCAGAGAATCGGCCTGGTTTTCCCTCAAAATCGTTCTAACAATATGAACTAAATGATCATAGCTGAAAAAAACATCATTGGGTTATAAGCAAATTCCAGTGGACGAACATATTATAGTCACCAAAACTACACCGTTGCAACAAGCATTTAGCATTGAGAAATGCATATTTATTTGGTTTTAGAACGAGATCGCTGTTTTCAATTGCAATGTCATTGGAAGTTTGTTCCTGAATCCCAGTTGTCGACATTGTCTACTGCGCTACTAGGTTGGCATAGTAGCGACAAAGTTAAACAAATTAAACTGCTTTTGCAGCACTTTGATTTCATCAATTTTAAATTTGGGTGAAGTTTAACCTCATTTATTTCCTAAACATCTTTAATCATATTCCCATTAAAAGCGCTGATTTTGTATCCAGCGGTGTACGCGTTAATCATGTGTGCCCGTTATAATCCTGAGTATCCACCTAACTATTCAGAAGGTATGTCGTATATTTCATATCTGTCAACTTATCTCAGCCACATACTATCCTAACTATCCTGTCTACGGTCAAGAAAATGCTTCTCCACCACAGCAATCAAATGGTGGCCCAGGTGCAACTTATGGAGCATTTGTTCAGAACCCTTTTATTCCTGATTTAGCTGTTCGCTATGGAGCAGCAGTGTTCGATGAGGGTGCGAACTTTGTGCAGAAGAATGTAAGACCCCACTTGCTTCATTAACCACTATAGGTTGACCAATATGTTAATCTCATGCGTTTAAAGTATTACTTCTCCGTCAATAATTCGTATGTTGCCAGGAAAATCGGACTGATCTTGTTCCCATTTGCACATACAGTATGTCAGTTGTATTATCCTAATCTTTTTGGAAGTTATTTAACTTTACCGTTAGTATGTTAAGCGTAAACGAAAGCTTTTGTGTGCATTAAAGGCTTATTTCATTTTTTTTACTCTGTACTGTCTAGTCTTTATTCTTTTTCCTGTGTTGTAGTTAGTGCAATATTGAGTCCTATAACCTTTATTCTTAAGGGCACACACAGAATCATTTTCTTAGGCGTGGATCCGTCGTCATTTTTACCATACTGTTCTGTTTGGAGAGGTTCTTAGTCTTAATCATCAGTGTATTACGTATTCTCAGGACACATTTGAGTAGAGTTCCTTTCTCTTTGAAGACCGACTTCCAGCTCGAAATCAGTAGTAATTACTGTTTGTTGAAACTCAGTCTGATACAAATATATTTTTTGTAATATCTCATGATCCATTGCTGTTCAGTTTTTGAGCCAATAAACCACATTTCCACTGATTTTTTCTATTAAGCTAGGGTTGCATATATTAGTTTCATCTCCACCATCGTAATAGCTTTCTTTACTTCAGGCTTTAGTTAATAAACAATCACTTCCTCAGTTTGCCTGAAAACGTAAACTACAAAATAGGAGTTATATATTCTAGGTGAATAAATCCATACTCACTTTTTTGTTCAATCTTCAGCGGTATTACACGACAGTTATGAAACCTGATTTCCAAGATATTGAATTACTTAACCACGATGTTTAAACCCTAGCCAAGAGTCAATGATTGCATGAATTCCTACTGTACACTGAACTGCTCACTCTATATCCTTCATACTTTTTGCGAATTTTATTTTCCTTTAACAGAAATGGGCTGCGAATTATGACCCTGCAGGACCTGTTCCTCCGGGTGACGATATAAATGCTCCTGATTTGTATATACCGTTAATGGCCTCTATTACGTACATACTTTTATGCGGTGTTATATTTGGTTCTCAAGGCCGTTTTTCCCCTGAATATCTTGGGATCTTGTCGAGTGAAGCTTTTGGCTGGTTACTAATTGAAGTTTTATTGGCTCTTTTTGGAATCTACATTCTTAACATCCAGTCGAATATTTCCTATCTAGATATAGTTGCGTACTGTGGGTATAAATTTGTCAGGTTTGTGACTCATTTTCGTTATTTTTTGTGGCATTGTTAATTAGTGACGGTCTACTTAGCTTTCTGTAATTATTTAAATGTTGGTCAACAAAGCATGATTACACGAACTTGGCGATTCAGAGTAACTTTTCCGCCATGCATTTGGATAAAATAGTAATATTACAACTCAGTAATTATGTACGTCTTCATGTATTAGTGGTCTACAACTGCTCTCAATTTAAGTTTAAGCAATGAAGTGGTAGAATACGTTGACCAGCAGTGCCACGCTGATGCTATCTTCCCAATGGAAGGTGGGGTTAGAAAACGTCGGACCTGAAAATAGCATACTCTTCCCTCTTCCAGGGTCAGGGGTAAGGGTTTGCTCTATCCAGCGTTAGAACAACCAGACCTCAAAACAACACGCAAAAGGCCGTGTGCGACAGATCTCGAACATGCATTTCATAGGCTCTGCGGTCACGCACTATTTCTTCTTCAGGTATCTCAAGAAGAACAAGCCTTCCACGGTGTGAGCACGCTTCCAGCAGTACACAAGATCCAATCAAACATAATCTATCCTCCTCAACTCTGTCTTCTTCTTTGCCTTCACTTCCGAAAGCCAGTATTAAGCCTTTTCCACCTTTTCCAATCTCTCACCTCACGACAATTGTCAACGACCGAAGCCATCGAAACCTTATATGTAGTCTCCTAAGACCCCACCATCGATTTTGTGTATCGGCTCTCATCGTCCAAACTATATGCCAAATGGGACAACAAGCGTCGCTCGCCGGAACTCTGTAATCTCCATCCATGGATATTTCTTGTGTCTCTGAGACACGTATACAGAACCCGAGTTTTGTTCTTAAATTGATCTCACCTGGCCACAGTGGTGAATCTTCAAAATTCGCCTTGAGAGTATCCGGAGACCCAATGGCTAGCTGTCATAGACTTGCTGGTTTAGGCATAGTATTGAGTTGTAGAGCATAAATTGCTATCCTCGATTAGTTCCCAGTAAACAGTCATTTATATGCTGTTCGACTGAATGGATCTGTTAAGACTAAGAATGATCGTTAGACCGACTGATGTCTGTGCAATCGCCTACGCACCCACCAACTGCACGTCAGATGATGCAAAGGATGGACTGTATGAAAACTACAGAAAGCAAAATGTTCAGATGTATTGATAATGACAGGTGACTAACGCTCAAATATGGAAGCTGAGCAATCTCGAAGGCATCTTTGAGGTATCTACGAAATCCCATGCCAACAAACCAACGACGGTGATCGTCTGTTAAAATTCTGTTCGGACAATCACTTATTTCTGGTCAGGACTAACCTTGAGCATAGAGAGAAACACTGTCTCACATGGCATCCACTGACATCAATCTAACGATGGACACATAGATCATATTGCTATAAGCCATCAGTTGAGAATTGGCGGTCTTTCTGGAGTACCAGGTTAAATTCCGATCACGCGCTTGTACGGACTCGTGATATCTACGCCTTGTCGCAGAAAATAGACCTGTCTATTCCCGGTTAGAAGACGCGAACTACGTGTTTAGGGAGGAGTTAGCCAAGTATTTGTCTGAACGTGACAGTGGTGCTCATGCTGGGGAAAACCGGCACAATATTAAGTCTGCCATAGAAAAAGAGATGAAGACAGTTTATAACCTACATCTGAAGGTTACGAAACGTCAGGGGAACTTTACAACATCATGCGAGCTGATTGTTGCAAAAAGACTAATTTCATCAGGTTCTGACCAGAATGAAGAGCGAAAGCAGCTTAAGCGTAAATTGACCTAGAGTCTTGAAAATGATTGTCAGGAGTTATGGTTGATGAAAGCGAAAGACATGAAGAAGGCATCAGCGTTGGTTAACGCCCAGCAAATATTTAGGTTTATTAAGGATACTAACAAAAATAAAACGATGGTGAGTGAAACCATCACCGAAGAGGATGGAACGCTAATAACCTCACAGGACAGGCAGCTAGAACTTCGGGCAAAACACTTTGAAACACAGTCCAACTGGCCCGCAGCAACGCTTCAGTTGCCCAATAGCCAGCCTGAACTTGAATGGAACGCAAATGTTGGTTTTCCAGCTCTCCTTGAAGTTGAAAATGCTGTATCGAACTTGAAACGATGCAAAGCATCACGACCTGACGGTTTGCCACCCGAGGATACCAAGAATAGAGGTTTGAAATCACTACATACCACACGAAAATCAGAGGTAGTGCTGTCAGGCTGGTCTATTCACTGTTCATCCCAGTCCATAAGAAGGGAGAGAAATCTTCTTGTGACAACCAAAGGGGAATTAGTTCGACTAATACCATGTCCAAGATCTTAGGGTTTATAGTTATCCGATGCCAAACTGGAGCTTGAGAAGAACAAACTCGATAAAAAGCAATCACGTTTCAAACCTAGACGAGGTACATCGATCACTTTTACCCGCCGACAAGTTCTGGAATATAGGCACACCTACCGGTTAACGGTCGACACTTGTCACATTTCTTAACCTGAAGACGGCATTTAACTCAGTCGACCGTGAGGTGTTGTGGCAGTGTCTGTCTGTGAAAGGAGTACCGGGCAAGTATATAACGTTAATCACAGCTCTCTGCTCGAACTCCCGCAGCCATGTTAGGGTTTGTGGAGAGTTGTAATGTAAATTGACGACAATGAGTGGTGTTCGTCAGGGATGTCCACTGTCACCGTTCCCATTTAACTTCGTCATTGACATACCTAACATAACCTCAGGTACGTCTGAATTCACGTGGACTGACCTATTTCCTGGGGATTATCTAGCTCACTTGGAGTATGCAGACGATGTCGTCCTGTTGAATGAAGACGGCGATAAAATTTAGAGTATTCTGAACGTGCTGAGCGGAGATGTGAGTATTTTTGGCTGGGATGCGTTCACTGGCACCTGTCAAATGTAAGACGATGCTCCAAGACTGGTCTGCTGCAAGTACTCCCAGTTTTATGATAGAGAGTGAAGTGGTGCAATACGTTTCGCATTTGCCAATTTGCGTCATCTATAGTGGCAACTGGTAAGACATCCGACTATCTATCAAACGATGAGTATGCTACGCTGTAGTTCGTTCTATCCTGTTTTACGACTGTGAGACATGGCGGTTAGAGGTAGAAGACATGAAGTGGTTGCAGGGTTTTTATCACAAATGTTTTCATAGCATTGCTGGCATTTGGTGGAATCAGTGTGTCTGCAATATCGGCATCAGAAGAAGGGTATTAGGCAAGACAGGGAATTTAAATGGTGAGGTTGTAAACCTTAGCTGGCTGAGATGGCATTTCGAGCCACCGTCCGCCTCGATGTGCCATGCTTCGGAAAGCTGCATTAGGTTGGAAGAAGATTCAGTGTGGCCAGACCAAGATATGGCGTCGTTCAGTTAAGTCCGTGACTGTTGGTCTGAGCTATTCTGAGAAATGTATACTATCTGGCTGGGGTCACCAGGAGCATAGAACTTAGTGGTTGACGACTCTTGGTGAAATGAATGAAAATTGATCACAATGGTGCAGATGTATTCACCCTTTGATGTGATCTAAAGCGTGAATGTTTTAACTGACCTTAGTTTTTAAATTCCCCCCCCTTTCCATACATCTTCATCTACTTTCATATCGGTCTTTCCTGTTCACTTGTTCTTTGTGTACTACTGTGGCGTGGCAACTTGAACCAATGCAGTTGTATACGAAGTTATGCGTTGATTTTGCGTCTGTCATGTTCATATACTAGGTGGGTAAACGTGCCTATCGGCGCAAAACTTCACACAAAAATGAGTCAGTTAAAGTTGTTAAGCTTAAAAGTAGCTTGTCAAGAGAAAATAATCAATTAGCGTAACATTAAATTAAATGAAAACGTCATGAGATGAACGACTAAAAAAAGGAGATTGCCTGTGTTCAGAATTTTCGGAACTATTAACTACTGTGATCGATTCCGGACCATGATACAGAATGTTTTCAATCACTGATTCCTAACATCCATGGAACCTATTGAGGCAGCATACTCTCCTGAACGTATCTTATTCTAGCCACTGTCAGTTTTCTTATTTACCTAATCTTAGTTCGGTTAACATCGTACGTCGAGGAATACGGTGATCGGGGATGTGTAATATGTTTGAGGCACTTTGGTCGGTGGAAACTTATTACCTCGTCGACTGACTTATGTTATCTCACATTGTGTTAACCTCAACACTTCCACCTGGTGCAACCGTTACTTGATACGTAGTCGGATATCTGAATGGTGCAGTACTAATCATAGCCTTGGAATTTTTAAACAAGTCTTTTCATCTCCGCCTAGTTTTCATCAGCAATCAGTCTAATCGGGCTAATACAACTCACTATATGGGTGAAGTAGTCAACGTATTTCACTCCTCCATTTTTATTAAAGTCGGGAATCTGCAGACCAGTTAACCAACCCCATCTGTTTAACAAGTTCAAAACGTATAACAGATGTACTTAGGCTTAATAAAAGGTTAGCAAGACAATGGCCCATATCATTCATTGCAGTTGGTAGTGTTGTGGAAATCTGATTTCGCTTTGAACATCTTGGCAGAAAGTGAGTGTAATGTGTTGCATTTGAAGGTTCCACTGGTTCACAGTTTAGTGGAAGAAATGAAGTTGCAAAGGTAGACTGCAGTGTTTTGTTGAACTAACACCTCTAGAGTGATGAATAAATAGAACTAAGCCTAAATTTGTTAAGATAGGGTTTGCTAATAACAGTATCATATAGCAATAATATGAAGAGACCTAGTTGATCCAAATGCCTTATGTAAGGAAGCTTAGAGAACCCCTTAATTTTTTAGTTATGTTTTCGACACTTTCTAATATATTTGTTTCATATTTCAAACATATGTTCACTGCTTGTATTCCAGATGAGATATTATACGTGACCAATATAAAATCTGAAACATCTTGTTTAAAATTCTGGACCATTCTGATGGATTTACTTGAAAAATCTCGTAATTGTATCAAACTTTGTTGAACATAGCACCGGCCATTTTACCAGCGCATATAGATCCTCCTGTAAGAGCGCCCTATCCAAATCATTATGGATGATTCTGCAGAGTTCAGCCAGTTAGGATTGAAATCAGACCTGGCGTCAATACGTAACTGTCCATGTTGCCACTTTTCATATCAGCACATCAAGTTACGATGCACTTAGGTAAACGATATGGAAATGAGATAGAAAGTAGTCAAGATGATCGAAAAACGAAAACGAAGAATAAGGAGGAATGAGACTGATGGAATTTAGTATGACAATCAAGACGAATGTAATGTCTACATATTACTTTCTGTGCTACTGATATCTCTAGTATCTTAGACACCATATTCACCAAACTGGGTCTGCTATAATGGGTTCTTTTGCTTTTTTGAAGACTGGAACAATCTTCTATAAAGACTATTAATCAGAGGAGATCATAAGTGATTCGTATACGCTAGCTAAAACCAGTTAATCTAATCAGTAATCCTCGATTACCTTTCTCAAATACCTCTAGTACTGGCTCATCAGATAGTAGGTAGTAGAATAGTATCTGGAGGCCAGTTGAACTGTTCCTCGAAGTGTTCCATTCCTCGTTCCAGTTTTCTCCCTTATGAATAAATCGCAGACCCATCCTTCTCACTAACCCCACTGGCATTTTCGCCCCAGTTTCCTTGATATGTTTTTATAGCTGTCAACTGTTACCTATCACCGCTGCCTTTCTCATCTCTTTGCCTTCTCCACCCACCACTGCCTGTGGTCATCGCATAAACTTCTTGCCAATTCACATTTTAGTTGCGTGCGCACCTCATCGTGCTCGGAATCTGTAGGAATGCGGTCCCATGCATCCATTCCTGTAACTCTTCCTAACCTCTTTCTTAAAGTCACTTATGATCTGTGCTTCTGCTTTTACATCAAAATAGAGTTTTCACCAGATTTCTTCTGGATGAGCAATGTTCTGTTCTGATAGTTTTCTAGCCAGTTCCTCACTGGAAGCAGTCTTAGTATTCTCATCATTGAACCGTGCTTGGGACGGTATTGACGCTATAGTTTTTCTACTTCCATTTAGGCGTAGACACACTTGTCTTGCAGGTTCAAACTTACTACAACTACTTCTGTTTCGAAAGTCTGTTAGCATATTAAGTTACAGTAGATACGATTCATGACTTAGTATACAAACGCTAATCTAATGCGACTCTGCAATTACTTTCAGGTTCTTACTGTGGGCAGTGAAGCACCACTACTTACCTACCACCTTCACAGATAGAGCGCATTCCAGAAATACAGTCTATTGGTTGAAAGACCAGTGAACAACAGGTCCATAAAACTATTACCGGGTTATAAATTTCTGTATTATCATTATCACTTAACTAATGTAATACACCCTAAATAGCTGTACGTGTTATGCGTGTTAACTGTTGTTTCCATTTTTAGCATGATTATTGTTCTAGTCAGTTATATTGGATTGGATCGACCAGGCTATTATTTCAGTTTGTTGTATGTCAGTTTGGCACTAGGATTCTTCCTTGTAAGTTAACCTTTTACTTTATAATTCAGTAATTCTTTTCATCGAATTACCTTTGAATAGTTTCTGTCTGAAGAAATAAGTTCATATAGTGAATAAATGAGAGGAGTAAAACAAGATTTGCACATAGTGGTTTTGTGTTTTCTGAGCTTCGATATATTGTCGTGAAAGTTCCATCGCTAGGCTTAGTGACATCTTCAGCACTAGCTTCTTTATGAAGCTCAGAGAACACCAAACCGCTATCATCCTCATCCTAAGCTACAAATCTTTCCCATCATTTCGAGATTTACACAAATCATTGCATGTTAGTCAAACAAAAATTAAAATACTCAACTTTTAGCCTGACCCGTCTTAGAATGAGCCGTTTTTATTTAGGCGGAACTTAGTGCAATATGAGCCGTAATGAATGAGCAGGCAATAGTAATTTACAACCATTGTGAAAGATGAGTGGAATACCTAATAGAAGTTATAAAAATGGGATAAACCAAATCAATGAAGTGCATTAAGAAGAATATCTAATTACTTCTCTGTTTTCATGAGTAGGAGAACACTTTTGTCCATTCTCTTTCCTCGTAAGTCAGGAAAGTTTGTGCTCTTGTGATACCCTGAAAGAACGAATTCATTTTCTAAGATCGATCTTTGTCAGAAACTGATACCCAAAATATTTCATAGATAAGTAATTGAAATGGAATGCTACTTATCAGTTACATATCAACATAAAGAGGCCGCTTTTGAATTATGAATCCGATAAAGATGCAGCAGATTAGGGTATTAAAATGCAAATCAATATAAACTACCAATGTTCCATATTTCCAACTTCTGTCAGTTCACGATCCCTGGCGGGGTAATGGGTGCGGACTGCTTAGGACTCCTATACTAGGATGAAACAGCTGTCCAATGCTCTCAGGTTTCCAATGTTCCTTCAACTGATGTCAGTCCATGATGAATACCAACTTGGAATCAATAAGTCCCCACAAACCCCCAAATTGAATTAGTCTACTGCTCATTGGTGATCATCTTCGAGAGGGGAGTCCTGGAGTTCCAATGAGAAGTCGTGACCGGTGGGGCGAACCAAGTAGACATGAGGACAAATACTCAACGATGACATTGAGTGATGGTCGCGCTATATCGTGAACTCATAGAAGTTGGAAATATGAACTACTAGATTCCGATGCAATGGCTCAGTGGTAAAGTTCTGGCTACGGAACATGAAGGTCGCGGGTTCGTTCCCTGGTGGTGTCATGGCTGCCCACTGCTGAGAAGCTACATTCTAGGGCGAAGCATTTTTTACACCAAATCCATCGCCTGTATGAAGGATGAACTATTACATGTTATTTCGCATATCGCTTCACCTTTTGTGGAGTTAATTACATAAGTTACGCGTAGACACAGGATTGTTCAACGTCAACGGTAATAACTCCCAGTATAGTTTAGGAAAAATGAATGTACATCAATCAGTAGTTCTGTCTTATTTCATCCAGTTGGTGGTAGATATATACGGTCCTAGAAGACTCTCTTGCTATGGTCTACCGAATGTAACTCAATCTTTCAAAGGGTGCGACAGAATGTTTACTTTGTATTGATGAAACTCTGCATATGAAAAGTCATAACCAGAATTATGTATCCAAAAGCAGTTTTTTGTATTTACTGTCTTTGTCTACTGCTTTGAAAAAAAATAACTTCACAGTTCTTAGACCTAATTGGCCTATTTTTTTAAAGTTTCAATTTACTGTTACCGAAGCTTTTTAACTCAGATACTAATTTCAAGTTATCTTCCTCAACTATGAACTTGTCTCACTTCACTGAGTATTGTTTGTTTTTGAATCCAAATTACACTTATTTATTCACCTTATCAAATAGGGAGCTATGACTTATTGGTCCTATTACTTGATTTCTAGCCAACGTCACAGGTTTGAACCGTACGCCACCTACCGCGGCTGCCAGGTAGTATCATTAGTATTCACTCAATAGGTGTTTTTCTTTGCCTACTGTATGAACGTGCATGTGATTGTTGAGTGCATTTCATTTGATACTGTCAAGTATTTTAATATCCCTTATGTAAATTTCATTCTTATATTTTTATGAGTTTTTAAACCATGTTGACATTTTGTGGCATTAAATGTGCAAACTGACTATATTTTGAATGCAGTTATTCAGCTTTTGAGAATGATACTACCGAAAACAATATTGTTTGCTGAAATCTGTTTTCTACGATCAGGTATAAGTAAAGATTGGGGTCAGCGGTATGATCACAAAGTAGCATTGCTTTATTTTTGTTCTGGTGACTAGAAAACATCCGTCATAATGCTTATAAATTATTTTGGCCTATTCACTTCTTGATGCTCATATTGTATGAAGTTTCTTCTAAATAAGAACGGCTCATCTGGAGATACGTTGGGTTAAAAGTTGAGTATTTTAATTTTCCAAGTTGGTATTCATTGTAGACTGACACCGGTTGGAGGACCAATGGAAACCTGGGAGCACTGGACAGCTGTTTCATCCCAGTATGGGACTCCTCAGTAGTCGCACCTACGACCTTCAGGTTCCGTGACCAGCACGCTACCATTGACCTACTGGATCCGAATCCAATGGTCCATATTTCCAGTTTACGACATAGCGCTACCGCGGGGTCGTGGGTGCGCATTACTGAAGAGTCCCATACTAGAACGAAACAGCTGTCCAGTGCTCTCAGGTTTCCAGTGTTCCTCCAACTGATGTCACTCTACGATGAATACCAACTTGAAATATCTCTAAATCCGCACAAAGACATCAAAATTCAGTTTTAATTTTTGTTTGATTAACATGAAATGATTTGTGCAAATCTTGGTTTACTCCCTTTATTCTCAAGCACATAAATTTATTTTCTTCCACACTTACCTTATGGCCATGCTTCAACAGCGAGTTAATTCAGAAATCCATGATTTTACTTCTACTGAAAAATGGTTTTGTTTTTTATCACCCAATGAGAATATCATACTTTAGTTCCTTTGAATAAAGCAAGAACAAAAACATTTGGAGAATAAAATGAGCTCATGTTACTTCACGCCCTTTCATCAGGTGCAAACAGCCCACACTTGAAATGAAGCATTATCAGTAATAATGACATAACATACTTTAAATATACAGAAATAAACGGACATTCGAAATCCAGGATTAATAATTAGGTGGTGAGTCGGGGAAATTAAGGACCAATAATCTCATTGACATTTATATTTGATAAGATAGAAAATTCTGGAACTGTGGAAAGGGGGGAGAATAAACAAACAGGAATATGAAAAAAGGGGCTGCTAAAGATCTAGTAGGTTACGTAATTACACGAAAAAACTCATGAATACTTTAGGCTGAGTGATCAGCAGTCAGTAAGTAATTACTGAAGAGATGATGCAATCAAGAAAAGGTAGACTGTATACCTAAATATGCAAAAATTCATGTTCAGTTACCAAGGAAAGAAAGGTTAATTACGGTTTCTTTCTGAGTAAAGAGGTCAGGTTAAAAATCTTTGATGACGAGAGCTTCCGCAAACTGTAATAAATATGGTGTTTTTTTTGTTTATTCCCTGGAAGGATTGAGAAACAATCTATTGATGTCCTGTTTCAATCTGGTTATTATATTATTTATTATTTGTCCGTTGGGTTACTAATGGAACATAGGGCTTCAGTAGCACGTCTCCATTCCACTCTGAAATCTTTTGAATGTGGCTCCACGACAGCCTGCAAGCTCTCATTTCCTCCTCACACGATCTCCTCCATGTCACCCTCGCACACCCAAATCGTCGCTTCCCATCTGGGTTCCATTCGAGGGCCTGACGCGTGACGTCCCCAGTCGGCCTTCTCGGTGTATGCCCAGTCCATCTCAACTTCCTTCTGCATATTTGTTGAGCGATGGGTTGTTGGTTGGTTCGTTCCCAGAGTTCCTTGTTGCTTATTCTTATTATTCTGGCCATCTGATCTTCAGTGACGAGCCAGCATAGGCAGTTGTTGATGAATGTCTGTAGTTTGATGGAAATGCTTTTCGTAACGGGCCAAGTCTCGTGAACCATTCAGAAGCACTGACTTGACGTTGGTGTTGAAAATCCGGATCTTGTTCACGCTTTGTGCTGAGTGCAGATCTCTACACTGGTTTCAGGTTAATGAACTCCTGTCTTGCTATTCCGATCCTGGCTACTTTGACGTCCTTGTGTGTGCCTGTGGCGCCTGTAGTTGAAACTGTGGTACCTAGATAGGTGAAAGAGGCTACTTCCTTTAAGTTTCTCCCGTTGATGGTGATTGTAGCTTGTTGTTGTTATTGGTGGTGGTGTTGGTGGGGTATCTTCATCACTTCTGTCTTCTCTATATTCACTTGAAGTCCCGTCTCCCCTCGCTGCCTCTTCTGCCAACATGTTAGTTTTCGCCTGTAGATCATCAAGTTTGTGTGACATCAGACACAAGTCATCGGTGAAATCCGAATCTTCTAGGTTCTTTTCCGCATTTCAAAGTATCCCCCTCTTCTCGCTCCCCACTGTTTGCTGCATGATCCAGTCCACCACTATCAGGAATATCATAGGGGATAGTAGGTAACCTTGTTTCACTCCTGTCTTCACTTCAAAAGCATCACTGAGCTTTCCATAGTGAACTGCTTGGCATGTGGCATCTTCATATAGTTGTTGAATGAAATTGATAAGGGTTTGTGGTATTCCGTAGTGTTGAAGCAACTGCCAAATTACCCCTCGGTCGACGCTGTCGGAGGCCTTTCCAAAGTCGATGAAGTTGAGGTTTGGTTGAGTTGACTGCCATCCTATACTCTGTTCTATGGTGATGCGTAGTATAGCGTTACAATTCGATCCGCAGATGATTTGTACTTCCTAAATCCAGCCAGCCAGCGAGCCTGTTCTGGTCGTAAGTTTGAATCCAGTGCGTCTTCTAGCCTCTCCAGGATGATGCTGCTTAATATTTTGCTTGCTCTGGGTGGACAGGATAGTGATCCCGCGCCAGTCCTTGCAAACACTGAGGTCCCCCACTCTTCGGCAGTTTGACAAGGTAACATTTCTTCTAATCAATCAGCAGGTACCTTCCCTTCCCTCCACACCTTCTGCAATAGTGGTGTGAGCATATCCGCTGTTGTCTCTGCGTCTATTCTCAGTGCTTCTGGTGGGATTCCATCTGGTCTTGTTGCTTTCCCGTATTTCAGTAGCTTTATGGCGCTCAGGACTTCGACTTTTGTTGGAGGATTTGTGTTTGCTGGCAGTTCGGCGGCTAAAGGTGGTATTTCTGGAAGAAGTGCGGGTGGTGGTCAATTCAAGAGCTTTCCGAAGTAGTCGGCCCATCGTTTCCTTTGTTTCTCTTCTTTCGTAATTAAATTTCCGTCATCATCTTTTATTAGTTTCATCTGTGTTGATATCTTCTCTCCCAGAGAGTAACCTGGTTATTTGAAACAATGTTGTCAGGTCTCTATCTCTCCTACCTGCAGCCTGTTCTGCTTCACTTGCCAGTATTTCGTAGAAGTGTCTTTTGTGTTTCCGCGCACTCTTCTTCACTTCTTTGTCCAGTGTGTTGTTTTATAGATTGTACTCAGCTCCTCTTGTCGTTGTTCATCCTTGCACTGGTTTATCTCCTGCTTCACCATCCTCCTCTCCCTGCTCTATCAGCTTCCATGTGTCCATCGAGATCCATTCCTTGCCTCGCCGCTTATTCTTCCTTCCTAATACGGCTATGCAGGTTTCTTTCCACATCTCTTTCAAAGACTTCCAGTGTTCTTCCACACAGGTTTCTTCAGGGATGTTCCCCAACATCTCCCATTTTGTCTTGATGGCTGGCTGCCGTGAGGATTTTCTGTGTAGTTTCGTCCTTCAGTTCAGTTTCTGTTCTGGGTGTTGTACTTGAACTGTGGTCTATCACCAGCTTCCTTGAAGGCTTTCAACTTGATATGGAAGGTTCCTTGCACTAGATAGTGAGTGGTGTGAACCTACATCTGCTCCTCTTCTTGATCTTGTGTCAAGTAGGCTGACTCCGTCTCCACTTTCTTCACATTGAGATGAAGTCGATCTGATTTTTATTGTAGTGCGTCTATCTAGTAAAATCAAATCCATATCACTTTGTGGATATCCTTATGCTTCAACAGTGCCTCCAATCACAGAATTCTGCAAACAATTCTCCATTCTCGTTCATTTCACCTAGCGCTTCTCGATCTATGGTTAGTTCTCTTCCTGTATTGTCTGCTCCCATTTTGGCATTCATGTCACCCCACCCATTAGAATTTTTATATCTCCAGCTGAGGTCTTGCCCAGTGTTGATTGCAGTGGTCTGTAGAACTCCTCCTTTTTCTCTTCAACAGCATTATTTGTAGGTGCGTAGCGTAGCATTGTATGATTGTGACCTTCCTTCCTTTTGAGTTGAACCTTGCTGTCATGATCATGCAGAAGGAGATTGGTTCCCACTGCATGAGAGCCTTCGATGTTCTTGGAGACATCATGATAGCCACTCCAACACTCCGTGTGCTGTGCTCGTGGTTGTCGTCTGGGTGACAATATCGGAGTAGATTATTGATTCCCTAGTTGACAGTTTGGAGAGTCCACTTCCATTCCACCTGCTTTCGCAAATTCCAAGCACTTCAATACGATACCTTCTCATCTCGTTTGCAATCTGATGCTTGGCATTTACTTTTCTAAAGACCTTATTGCCTTTGTGTTATATATTCTGAGCGGATATACCACGCACGCTTAACTGACAGGTAACTTCGTACGCAAGACCCACTGACTCCAACCCGCGAAGGATAAAGAAGAAAACTGAACTTGATGGGAGAATTTATTCCTTCGAGAATAATAATCAATTAACCGAAACACATAAAATATCATCTTTTCCAGAACTCGAGACACTAACATAGTAAATGTTAAGAAATCAGAGAATTAACTTGAAAACGGCGGCAGAAAATAAACTACTGGTCATGCCGTAACAAAAGCGCGTTAAAACTTTCAGGCACAGATTTCTCGGGATATGCTCATAAAATCGAGTTGACACTTTCCTTTCAGTCATTCCTATATGCTTGCTTCCACAATCACAGTTAAATTGATGTACACAGTTGAAGGTGACATGAGTTGGGTATTGGTCTACTTTCGACTGTGTTATTGAGCATACTGTGTTGTAAACTGGCAGCAGGGAAGTTCCTTTTCAGTACAGCTTTTATTTTTCTGTCTATTCTTTCAGATACCTCATCACCTTTGGATGCTAGATAAAGGAAAACAGGCTACTCAACAGTTGGGTGTCTTAATAAGTGCTTTTTCATGCTTTATAATGACTTTTCTCGGATATCCATTCTCCTTAAGAGCCTTCTCAATGATACTGAATTTTTTCTGTTTGTCTTACCACCGAAGCGTTTTTATTCTAGTGAAGAGCATCCTGACTAAACTACGCTTATAACTGACAGGACAAAACTGTTATAGTGAAGATACTGACCAATCCGTGTATGTTTCCTGCGGATAGTTTTCTCAAGTGTACCATCACATCTCCGTCTTACACTCAGATCTAAAATTGAATCTGTTCTAACTTTCGTATTTTATTGTAAAGTTCATATTTGGATGAGCGTGGTTAAAGGTATCGAACTGCTTTGACGCATAATTCGTATTATCACAAACAATGAAAGTATCATCTGCACAGGTGTGGTAATATGTCGTTTCCTTGGTCCCAGAATTCAGACTTGTTTTTTCGGGATGAGCCACAAATATATCAGCTAGGATACATCCTAGTGGTGAACCCCTAGCCACTCCATCAGTTTGCCAGTATGGTCGCTTATTAAACTAGAAGTGAACACCTTTTGTAACTGAGGAGCAGTAATTGTTTGAGTTCTATTTCGCAGCAATGTTGGTAGATAAGACTGTTGATTCATCATGTCTATCGTTTCATTCACTGGTATGTTCGTAGATAATCAGGAAACATCAAATGATACTATGAATCTATGTGAGATATCCAACTGATCTAGTTCCTAAGAGAATTGGAATTTGTCCTTCAAGCTGTTATTTGTGGACCTTTTTCGGATGACTTTTGATTTCTCTGCTAACCAACAAGCTAACTTATGACAAGTTGAATTTACCATAGACAACATGGATCTCAAAGGAACACTCGACTTACAGATTTTTGAAGGCTGTGCGTAAAGGGTAGCCGTGAACCTCATGATTTTAGATCATTATAGATTCCATCATCAATCGAATGCTTCAATACAAACCTACATCTAGTCATATATTGTTGATGAATCGTCAGCGAAGCAGACTGATTACCGTATGAATATCTAATTAGTCTGCAACTTGGAAGATGTGATTATTCTTTACTCTCAATAATCTTTGAACAGCTGAAGCAGAGAAAGAGTATTTTGAAGAATCAATAGTCTATCTAGGTAGCGTTCCAGTTGACAGTTTAATAAAATGTCGTTGAACAAGTAAAGAGCTGTAGCTTTACTTTAAACAACCCAGTTAATTCACGCAGTGATACTTCACAATAATCGTTGGTTGTATTCGTTTGCGATCTGCTGCTGCATACCCATTCAAATATCAAATTAAAGCAAGTGAAAATTGGAAAGGAAAGGAACCATATCAAACAACTATAGATCATACTGAGATTTTTTCATCTATTCTCCCTGTTTTTCAAGAGTGACTTTAATGGTCACCCTAGCAACTGTTAAGACAATCAATTATGGCTTTGTATTTTATAAAAATCTAACTTCCTAGCTGAAATACCGAAACCTTTATTAGCTCTTCCAACAGGTGGCCTATAAGTCACTCCTTTTTCAATGATCTAGTGAATATTCCGTCTACGTTTTGTACTCAAAGTTTCGATAGTTATTGTTTATTTTCTGCATTCGATTAAGTCATCATTGTACTTCTATCAACTTTTTTTTTTCTAGATAAGAAGCCTCAAACTGAAAATTCTTCCACATGCTGAAGCATATCCATCAGAGTGTAACAAACGTCGAATATATTTACTATTGTTTATTGCATTAATCCAACCATTGGTGATGTGGTGGTTAACACGTCGTGTTGTACTGTAAAAATGCATACTAATTCATTCTGTTTTCTATTGTAGTCTGCATTAACTACTCAAAGAATAGACAACTAAACTTTTGATTGTATTTCTACTCTTCTTAACTTTTGTGGCAAACAAAATATCACCTAAGAGGAGAAGAGATGCTGCATAAATATCTGTTTATCTACACGAACTTGTAGAGAGACGTTTTCATGTACAATTTGACTTGTGTATGAAAAAATGTATTAAAGATTACATGAGATTATTTGCTTGATGAAAATACAGCGTGCAATTTCCTATCTCTCTGTATTTCACAGGTTTTTCTCCCTTTTTTTGGCTTATCATTGACCTTTGTTTCTGGATATACATTCAAATGCAAGATATTGCTTTCATTGTCTGTTTGACTTCTATTGTTCTGTTTATATCAATGTACTAATCAGTTTGTCGATATAATGCATTGCTTTTACTTGGTAATCGTTTCCATTGTGTTGTTTTATTCATTGTTTTTAATAGGCCTGTGCGTATAATTCGTGCAAGATAGGCTTTTCTAAATTAATGAGTAATCATGGTAAATATTATGTAACATAATTACTATTCAGATAGACAAATACAACGTAGGAACTCACCCCCAAAGTCCATCGGTTCAAACTGCTACACTTCACAGTAATACACAAAGAACAGGTGGATACAAAAGGAGTGATATCAAAGTAGATAAAGCAGTATGAGAGAATAAGTAATCTCAGGGTGAAGATTAATGCAAATATTCAAATTTTAGAAGGCATCTAAGAGTGAATAAATCTGTGTCATTGTGATGCATTTTCAGCTATGTCACCCAGAGACCCCAACCACTGACTCCTATCGTCTCAGAGACCCCAGCCAGGTACATCTCCCCTCACGGCTCAGTTCAACAGTCAGGGACTTTATGGACTGGTATTTTTGTCTTGGTCTGGCTACCCTGAACCCTCTTCTAACCTATTCCGACTTCCCCTAGTATGGCACGTCGAAAGATGCAGTGGCTGGACACTCGCAGTATATGTTCAAGCCATCTCGGTCGATGAAGGTTCACAACCTCATCAGTTGACTTGCCTTCCTTACCTAGTACCCTTCGCCTGACTTCTAAAGATAATTCCATCACTAACATATAATCAGTTTTGAAGTAAACTAGGTCTTATTTATCATTACTTTTTACAAACACCACCTCAACACTTTATTTCTTTACAGTATTAACACTGTTTTCTAATGACTACATATTTTCAATTGCCATTAGTCGACATTTTTAGTTGTATTACTGAATAACATATGGCGGAATTTCACCCGTCAATAAAACGACTTTAGGTTGTAATTCATCATGGATTGACATCAGCTGGAGGAACGTTGGAAACCTGGGAGCACTGGACAATGGTTTCGTCCTAAATGGGACTCCTCGACAGTGCGCATCCAAGACCTTCAGGTTCGCCGACCAGCACGTTATCATTAAGCCACTGAGTTGGAATCCAATGGTCCACATATCCTACTTCTGTCAGTTCATCATGAAGCCCAACCTGTAACCAATTGATAAATCTCTCGAACTAATCTAGCACTCATTGGTGACCAGCTTCGAGAGATGATTCCCGAAGTTCCAATGAGAAAGTGGTGACCAGCGGAGTCAACCAAGTCGGACAGAAGGTTACTCAACAACGACATTGAATGTAGGTCGCATTATATCGTGAACTGACAGAAGTAGGAAATATGGATCACTGGGTTCCAGCCCAGCGGCTCAATGGTAAGGTGTTGGCCACGGAACCTGAAGGTTCTGGGTTCGACCTCTGGCTGGGCGATGTCATGGAGTCCCATATTAGGACGGAAGAACTGTCCATTATTCTCAGGTTTTCAATGTTTTCCTAATCGATGTCAGTCCATGATGAATACCAATGTGAAATCAATTAATAAATTTCCACAAACCTTCAGATAAAACCACTTTACTTGTCTGAGAGTTACCATCAACTATGACGGGTTGGTGGTGAATTCTGGACATATAAATGAACTGTTTTACTGACGTTTGCCAGCTTATATCACTTGGTATACCAGTGAGATGCTCGGATGTCTGTGTTCAGTAATATGGTTGTAAGGCATTGAAGATGCTTTAATTCATTAAAAAAAACTTTTTTATTGGTGATTTTCGACTTCCTGTAGGGAAACCATTATATGGGTGATAAAGAGGTTGAGATCAAGGTACTAAATAAAGAGAAGGGTATGAACTTTCGTCGGCCGAGGTGCTTAAGATATCTAGCCCGAATCTTCTCCTTCGCCCAGTGTTAATTTTCGTAAGACTAGGTTGTAAGATAGCATAGGATAGTCCTGGTAAACATGTCATTAGTCCATGAAGTTGCTGACTGTCACTCTGGGCAGTGTAGACTTGTTTACTGGGGTCTCAGGGATACTAGGAATATATGGTTCCAAACATTGTTCAAAGTTGGTCATAATAGTGCAAATAGATTCACTCTTTACTTTCAAGATTTTGAACATTTCACTTACTCTCTTTTCATTTCCTTCATGATTAGGTTTGTTTGGTGTTGTGGAGTGTAGTGACCTCAACCAGAGCACTACTGTGCTAAGTCCTCCCTCTAACTTCATGTCTTCTACCATCGGTGATAATACATCATTTTCATTTACATATAATATGACTGGTCCTCTGTGAATCGGGTCATTGGTAGGTAGTCAGATATCTTTCGAATGTCAAACATGATACAAATTCACGAATACCCAAAGAATCTTCTGTGCTCCTACCGAAATTTTGTCAACAACCAGCTTAATAGTTGAAGTGACCAACATATTCAATGACTTCACTTCCTGTCTTTAAACTAGTTCTCAGTACATACCACTTCTAAAGTATCAGTTTCAAAAGCATTGTGATTATTTGAATTTGATGATGTTCGAGACTTCTTCTGGGAAATTTCAAAGGAAGATCAACCATGATCCAATATCTTAATAATTTGAGTGTTGGATTTTATTTCTATAAACAAAATGATAATTCAAGAGTTTTTTGTATGCAGACTAGTTTGGATATGAGGAATGTGTGAGTTGAGTATTCTAACTATTTCACCTGGATGGTTAATTTAAACACACCATTATGCACTTGTGTAAGTAGTTATTTGGAGTTATGGTTATTCATTTTAAGTAGTTGACTTTCATTCAGTTGGTTATAGATCTGAGGTTTTGGCTGACAAGTATTGGCATAAACACTCCTACAAAAGATGTGTCTCATCGCCTCATGCATTAACTCGCCAATGATTATTGAGTAAGATTCCATTTTGAGATAGTAAGTAAGTTACTCTCTTTGAAGGTATTGAAAGTTTGAAAATCAGGATAATACCTTTATATGTTTGAAGTTCTAAGAAGAATAAGATATTTTGATGCTTAATATTTCACTTTCAAGCAAGAAAATATCTCTAAAACAAGCTCCACACAAAAGTTGCCGTTATTATTTGCTACAGTAAGCTGTCATACAAGGAAACTATCAACTTGACTATCTAAGACAGGCATGGCTTGGCACACTAGTATTGATACTCGATGGTGATTTAATGTGAAATAAGAATTTTGACCAGGGGAGGATTCGGACCAGCCACCACCGGGTTTCCGGGCTGGTGCTCTACCAACTGAAAGCTACCAGACACAACTGCTGACCGTAGGTGAACCTGCAGGAAGATCATTACCAGGTGTCTATATAATGCAGAAATCTTGGAATTAAATGTCTTTACTTAGTGGAATGAAGATATCATTATTGTGATGAAGAACAGTCATAAAGATCATATCACTCGACAGTATAGATAATAGAATGATCATCTTCTTAAAAGATTAAGGTTAAAGTAAACAGAAATGGTTTGTGCGTAGAAGATAAGGGAATACAATTGTTGTATTGTGTGTACAACTCTATAGTATCATTATTACATGCCAAGTGGATAAAGAAGGTAACCAGATAAACTGCTATACATATGTCCATGGAGTCGATAGGCTTCATCTCGACATTCTAACCATATTTGGTCATCTTTATTCAACTGAATTATAGCTTGATTAGTTACAGTTGCCCAAAATGTACTTTCACACCATGAAAGTAGTGCAATTTTACCATTGTGTAATAATTGTACACCCGCCTAAAGAAATAATAAAAATCAAAACAGACAGGTAGTTTGTATTATATTGGAAGAATAAGAGAATATAGTAAGTAGTACACTTTAACTAATCATTCACTGAGTAATAAATAGATGAATCAATGTAGTCACTCATATCAATAGTAGATTATGAAAAGTTAATGTGAAAGATAGATGGATAACACAAGTTTTCTCAGTTAGCAATGAACGATAGACGAAGCTTCTGTTCAAATCCTTCCAGGTGTTGCTAATTTCAGAAACAATCACTGAAATAAATAGTATTTCAACTAAGCTGAATCTAGGGAACAAATCTCTACAAAGTGCATTGGAACGCGGTTAATGATTAACGCTGGTATAACTGTGAACATGAAATTCTGTCTGAAAAGTTGTCTGGTAGATAATATCATATAGACCGAGTGCCATAAACAATCAGAAGGCATTCAGACTGATTCGCAGATTGCTCTAGCCCTATGTGAGTGACTTAACCATTAGAAAGCTGTTTCACTCGTTTGTGGTCCAGTTCATGTTTTGTGTAGCTAAATCAATCCAGTACAGTGTGAATTGAATGATCAACTTGCAAACTATTTAAGTATTCCACGATCTTTGTTTGCATTTCTCACTGATGAATAAATAGCTTTTTAGATACACAACCAAGATGTCAACAAGGTTTCTGTAGAAACAGCCAATTAGTTAAAATCATAAAATGTTTTCTCGGTTAGAAAAGCTTCTTAAAACCTTGTTGAAACTACATCTGAAAAAATATTAGGCGTCGACCGGGTAGTTTGAAAATAAGTCGTAAATTTTTAATCCGGATTGAAATGCACCTCCTGTATACAAAACTGCTAAATTATACTACTATGTTGATCAAAATTAGGTTTAGACTATCTATGGGAAGGCATTGGTTCCATTGAGACTGCATATATGTTTCACTGACCTCAATAAAATCATCATATATATATATATATATATATATATATATATATATATATATATATATGACAAATATTTTGTTTTATTCAATCACTAAACTTATATGGCAGATTATTTTGCGGTATTTTAAAAACGCTACGCAAAATGTATAGATTTTTGATTGTTAACAGAGAGAATGTAAAACAAGAAATAAACTAAACGATAGGATTGATGATTCGTGCTTAAAAGAGGTAAATGTATTTTATGAGAAATGAAACTAAAAATTTTATTTCCATTTGAAGAGATAAATCTCCAAATTTTTATTTGTGTGTGTGTTTGTGGTGTGTCAGTTAACCTCTTCTGTTGATAACTTTTTTCTTCAATTTAATATTCGTCTATAGATTTCAGCACGCAATAAGAGGATTTGTCAAAACAAAAAATTGTCATTTAACCGTTGTTGTTGTTATTTTTTTCATCACGTATAAAGGGTAAATCATTCCACCATCTGTGTAATACTTCAGACTGAATAAACACTATGTATAGGATTGAATCTATGTATTGGTATGTCTACTGTATGAAAAAAGATGTTTTGCTTGAACGATATGCTCAGCCAATGAACATCGTCATGATACAATCACTACTGAGACCAGTTATTTTGCCCTAGCCAACCCTATTTATTTAAGCATATGCTCATGTGTATATGAGCGTTTGTATGGTTATACATAACATAAATATATCCCTATGTAAGTTGTACATCTTGCAAGTAAAACAGATCAAAGTTGTGATAATTGTCTGTATTACCTATTCTTGAACAGCCTTACATTTACAAATTCCATTGATGCACAGACTAATACCGATTTATCTACTTCGATCAGATTTGTTCTTCAACTTGAAGATGGAATATAAATTTTTGCGTGATTCACTCATTCATTCAATGACTTTTTTTTTCATTTATCTTTTGACATAAATATATGTATACTGAAATTTTTGTTTTAAATTTTAAGATAAAAAGAAAATTTGAATTTTTACTAAAAATTATAAAATGATCAACCGAGGTTTATATTTACACGGGAAAATAGTTTTTTTTTTTTTTTCACAAGCATGACTGATGTGATTACGAGGTTTCGAACCAAGTAACCTTAACATTGAAAGAAGCCTTTAAATGTTTTTTTTTGACTAATGATTTAAAGAATTGTTAGTACACTAACTGACTATTGTAACGGCACTGAACATCAGTTTATTTATTCATTTGGATCCATCAATAGTATTTCTATGTGACTCTCGCCAGCATAACGTCTAAGAACCACTGAGATGAAGGTCGAATTTCAACCTTTGGCTAAATGATCAGTTACCGACCTTCGTAATATGAAATATAACTGCTTATCAGTTTCACTTTATGCTTCGTATAGCATAAAATATTTTTTTTGGCTAGTTTCTTTTAACTATCTTGTATTTTTATTCAGTTACGAGTTTTGAAACCAATGAGTTGAGTTGGTTTTTGAGCAGTCACCAATTGATCACCTTTCCCCAATCTAATAAAGTAACCAGCAATAATTTGAGAACCATTATTAACCTGAAAGCATTGGACACCTATTTCGTTCCAACATTACACCTCTCAACAGTATCCACCTATGACTGGAATTCAGGATCTTCAGGTTTTTCTTAGCGATCATTTTACCATGGAGACGATAGTTCAGAATCCAATGGTCCATATTTTCCTACTTCTATTAATTCGTGATGTACCATGACCTTCATCGAATGCCATCGGTAAGTATCCATCCTTTGGTTTGCTCCACAGAGTACGACTTTTCACGAGAATTTTCGAAAGTCTCATCTTGAAGCGTGTTGTTAATAAACCCTGGACAGTAATTCAGTTTGAAGGCATTAGCCTTTAGTTTAGGAAGGGTTAAAGGAGGAGTAACACCTAGACATGCTCCTTCTGAATTCAGTATTCAGGTTTGTTCAGTCTTACTGCTACAGCTTCAGCTGTGTGAAGATGTTTATGATCGCTTTGACTTTAACTTTTCCAAACTAAGCTGTCAAATTTTATTGTTTCTGTAGATGTACCTACCTAATTGTACGCTATATGTAAGTTGTTCAACAGGAACACTGAAACTGATATATACAAGATGGGGGGGGGTCTAATGTTAGTCTCAGATTGAGCATTGACTAACTACTAAAATATATTCAAAGACAACTTGAATGAAACGTTCTCGTTACCGTTTTAGCTAGGCATTGTGTTAGAATGTCACTTGAAGAATCTCCATTGAATTGTAGACGCAGAATTAGAGCTTTATTTCCCATTGTCATCTGTTTATGTTTGGTATAATGTAAGCAGTGTTCGAGTTGATGAACGTTTTAGGATATCCATTTTCACGTTCAGTCATCTTTACGTTTGTAAATGATGCAGGTCAGAATCTATATCAGTAGTACAGATACATCCACTGATTATCTTGACTTTTATTGTAATGCTCATTTCAAAATTTGATTTAACCTCCTCTTTTTTTTTACTGTATGACTTTCAACAGTTTTTGACTTTATTATCTTCTTTTCTGTATCTTTTATCCTTATGTCTTTTAACTTAGTATTTTGATGTAACTTACTACAACTATGACTATTGTAGTAGGTGCTACCGATCAGAATGGATATAAGTAGTATATGTTGAGAGGGCGGCAGATATCACAGACAATTACCAGTGATGGGTAAAGATTCTGCCTAGAGGAACTCAAAAGACAATGTGAGATTATTAAGAGCAAATCAAGATAGAAACAGAAGAGAAAATGAAGCACATTGTGCAAATGACTATTTTATTGGAAAGTGTACAATATTTGATCATTACTGTACAAGATGTCAATAATAAACATTTGCTCCTGCTTCTCAGTCTTGTCGTTTCCTATACTATTACATCAAACCTTCTGCTGAAAATAGCTGTCTGTCTACCTTGAGTAAATCAATCAACTATTAACTCATTCAGTTGAAGTTGAATCAAATTACTTTTGTTTAAACACTACAAGTTCTTTCATAATACTGCATAAGTGTATATGAGTAATAATAATGATAATAGTTATAACGTTGACTTAAGTATGTGTAATATAGATGATAATGATGATATGCTTTGGCCAACGTTATCATTATTATTATTATTATTATTATTATTATTATTATTATTATTATTATCGTTATTTTAGAACATTTATCACACCAACAGACAAATCTACATGATTGATTTAATTTTATACAGGTCTTAAGCTATTTGTATTAGAGTAAAGCCTGAAGAGGATCTAATTGGAAACAATACTGTCCACTTATATGCATAGTTCCAATTTATACGATGGAAATTTTTAAAACTCTTAAATCGTAAGTGCATACGATCATAGTCACGTTGAATTTTGTCTTTACTGCTTATAAATACGATATTATTATTATTATTTATTTGTCACTCGGGTTCCTAGTGGAACATAAGGCTTCAGTAGCACGTCACCATTCCACTCTGTTCTCTGCAATCTTTTAAACCTGGCTCCACGACTGTCCATAAGCTTTCATTTCTTCCTCACACGATCTCCTCCATGTCACCCTCAGACGCCCAACCCATCCTTTCCAATCTGGGTTCCACTCGAGTGCCTGGTGCGTAACGTCCCCGAATGGTCTTCTCAGCGCATGCCCAATCCATCTCCACATCCCTCTGCATATTTGTTGGGTGATAGGTTCATGGTTGTTTGGTTGCCAGAATTCCTTGTTGTTTGTTCTTTCTGGCCATCTGAGCATCAATAGCGATCGTAGGCACGATATACAAGCTAGTATCTTACACTTGCAATAGAAAGAGTTCACCCACTCCGTATATCCAAGAATATATTCACAAACTGCGTTCCCCATGAAACAATTTTTTATAAGTTGAGTTGTCTACAGTCATTACGTATACTGTAGCCTACGTAATGTGAATATAATTGAAAAACGTATAATATTTTGTGCAAAAATACAAGGTATTGGGGATTGAAAGCGACTGAGTATAATATATACCTGTTTTTCCTAATTCTACACGTAACTGACCAAACGTGGTTGGTAATAACTTTTTTTGATGTTGATATACTTGCTTCCTACCGATTGCTTCCAACCAACTAACATCTACTAATGTTCACCACGATGATGAGCCTCTTAGCTTGGTGGCCATATTGCAGATATGCTCGATAGGATTCCGTCTGCACTCAGGAATAGACAACATGAAATTGGTTGCACTCCCTTGGCCAATTAATACATGTAACCCAGTCCTACATAAGGGGAATCTCAGGCAGGGCATCTGTTCCATCGAGGGAGCAGATGCGCTTTGCTGACGAGTGCCGACAAGCACGAAACCTAGGTCCAGGGCTTCCTGCCAATTTCCTCCAACCAATTAACATACTTGTAACTCATTTTTGTCATACTTGATCGAATCGTTCTACCTTTGTTGGCATGCAGGTACATTGAGCTGACGAGTCCTAAATAGGACGAAGCACGAGTCCTGGATTCCTCTGCTAGCTACAATCAAGTAAATTGACACAAAATCGCTTGAATTACGAAGACATAGCATGAAGTAATTTAGGAAAGCTTATTGACGCTGAAAAAAGTATTAAGCGATAATGACAGAATATTTGAAATGAATTTGGCCTCCCACTAAATGTTAACTGCTTCTTGAAGATTCGTCTATATCATTCTTTTGTTTAACTGAAGGAAGAAGAAACGTTTCAGTGCAAAGATCCCTTCAGGTACGTTCAAAGTTACATAAACCTAAGTAAAAAGTGTCTCTAGATGGTTATATGTTCCGTATGGTTGGAGGAAGTCAACAGAAGGTAGTAAACTGTTTTGATCTCAGCTTACTACATAAACTGACCGATGCATACCTAATGTCCAAGTAATAAATGCTAAAAAGTTATGAAAAAGAGATCTAATCCTTTCCGATGACTATCTTCAAATACAGAATAACTATTATTGTATGAAACATAATCTAGGCTGTGTATTTTGCAATTATAGACTAAACACTTTGTCACATTTCATAACATGAGTCATGATCTTATCAGTCAAATGATATTCTGAATCTGTATTTATAGTACATGAAACATAAGAAGAGCATTAGAAGGATTCAAGACTTAACTGACTTGATATTCACATAAAAAGTACTCAATTAATTCGTTAAAAGGTGAAATTTATCACAGACTGATATCGATTGGAGGACCTGAGAGCACTGGGCATCTGTTTCGTCCTCTTCAGCAGTTAACACCCGAGACCACGTCATGAGTTAAACCTAGGACCTACAGGTTTTGCCACTGGGTAGCACTGTTCTGCATATTAGCAGATGTAGGAAAATGTGAACCGTTGAGTGGATCAGTGGTAACGTGCGCTCCACGAAACCTGAAGGTCCCGGGTTTCCTTCCTTGGAAGGTCGTGGATGCCTACTCCTGAGGAGTCTTATATTAAGAAAAAAACAGCTATCCACTCCTCTCAAGTTCTTGATGCTCCCCCATTTGATGTCCGTCTGTGGTGAATACTATCTTGGAATCAATAAATCCTTCCAAACTTCCAAAATGAATTTATCGAAAGACTAACCCACCTTTTCATAACTCTGTGCTGATACAACTACAACAAATATGTAAACACCAGAGACTGGTACAGTGAATACGCCTGTTGTGTTATCATATCCATTGCCAAGATTTAACATAATTGATTCAAATATTAATTGACAATTTTTACTGATTGGTTTGTGTTCAATACTTTTTGATAAACCTGCATAAAACGCGATTTGATATTCAATAGGTCTAGGAATCCATATTGGTTGTATTTTCGCTGAAAAAGAATAGAAAATAATGTTTATGATTATAACAGTATTTCAGTTTCAATGGGAGATGGATTTGCTCGAAATATAGAAGATGGTTTACTGACTAATATCACTTTCTTGTCTTATAAATATCACAACAAGGATGTGCGATCCTACGGATAACAAAGATGCACCAGTTCTACATATTTGTTATCTTTCTGGGTGGGAAAAAATTATCTTGTCTAACTAGCAGTTACGCTAAATAGGTTGAATATATGAGGTTTCGACTGTGTCACTATTTCCTCAATGATCTTTCATCTGCTTGTAACACCAAATAGTTGAAACATTAGACTACATTTATTCTATGAAAGGTGAATTTGTAACTTACTCCTGTTGTAACTCAGCAGTCAGTCTAGTCGATAACACTCAGGAATATGAAACCAATATGTTTGAGGACAAAGTTTCAATGAGAATGCTAAATTCTCAGTAGAGTACAAGTTTGTCCGGATGATGAATACCATCCAAGATGAAACCTAACATTGTGATTCTACAACTTATCATTGTAAACTACATAACCTCTAGTTTGTAGAACCAAGAGAGATTAAAATCTCTGTTTTATGGGAGGTAAATGATAAGTTATAGTGTCAGTGTGCTATAACGAACGAGCCACACTCAACCACCTTGTGCACATCTGTGCAAGAGGCTGTGAGCCACTTCTATTGCATGAAGACCAGTGACACTACCTAGCTGCCCATCTTTGGTTAATGAGGCGGGGTTCCAACTATCGGCCCACTGTTTGGTGATCATCCCCTTATACCACTAAGCCACAGCTCCTGCTGACGGATATCGTTGAAAATATGTCAGTTTTCTTTCAAGACAATATAGTACGACGAAAACAGTTGTGTGGAAACTTGTTAAGAACTAAAGTGGTCAGGTTTTAATCGATTTATTCTTCAAACAAAGAGAGAACAACAATATCAGTAGTGTAAAATGAATTCATTTCAACCCTGGTAATATCTTCAGCTGCTGATCACTGATTAAAACCTATTGGGTTGGGCTCAACCTTCGTCTCATATTCCTGTTCATTTCCTCATTATATCCTATACTATATTTACAGTCGAAATACAGGAATCTAATTGGTTCTTTTAGTAGTTACTACGATGACCTTCAGAGTCACTCGATTTAATGGTCACGTTGACGACTACTGAAACTACCAACCAGGTGGCTTTACTTTGACTAGTTTTTCTTATAAAAAAGAACCTAAGTGGTTTTTCCAATGGTTATTACGTGACCATCATAGTCACTTGAATAAAGAAGTGACTTTAAAGGCCACCCTGGCAACTACTGAAATGACTAATCTGGCTTCGTATTTCGCCTGGGAAAGTACTTTTCCATAAAATAAAGGAATGTAATTGGCTGCCTAATCAGTTTGCTAGGGTCGCCTTTAAAGTAACCCCAAACAAAGTACACCAACTAGTTTTGAAACCCAGTTCTCGTGCAATTTGAATTACTATAAAAACCCATCCCGATCGTACCAACTACTGAAATGATCAATCAAGTTTAACGATTTTGGGGTTGACTTCAAAAGCCACTCCATTAAATAATGAGATAACCAATCAGACCTCTGTATTCTGGCTTGAAAGGCAGTTTTTATAAAGTGAAGAAGCGTAGTTGGTTATCTTAGCAGTTGCTACGGTGAACCTTAGAGTCATTCTGTAAAGGAAACCGTGCATTAATAAACAAAATATCGAAGAGAAACCTTTGTTTTTAGATTTCTAAGTAAAGGAATTGGTTACACGTCTTTTAAAACAAATATAATAATCCAACTAAATATGCTTATACAAGTTCCATGCATTTCTTTCTTCACATCGCTAAATTGATACTTGGTGATGATTTAAGATGAAATGAAAATCTACGTCACAGCAGGATTCGAACCAGCGTCCGTGAAGTTACCGGTGCGGTGTTCTACTTAATTCAGCTGCTGAACAGATCTTAATTTCGCTTCAATTACCAAGGCTTTGTTTGAATGTTATGTGAATTCACTTTGCATAACTGTCTGTTAGTTGTATTCACACTGATTACTCAGTACTTATATTAATGGATGTCACATAGGACTTATCTAGAAGTAATTCTACAAAGAGATTTATCAGGTGAAATTTTAACTGACTGAAAGGGTTCTGAAGAGTAGTTTTCTGTTCATAAGTCAAAGAAATGTAGTTAGCTTTTTTGTCTATTAAACGAGAACAGAGTTTCGTCGACAATTATTCACGAACAATTTATTCTGCCTAATTCTTTACAAAATTTTCTGTAATATAAGTAGGATCATCCCTGGTGGCTCAGTGGTCGATGAAATCTCTACAAGGATACAAAAGGCTGGATTGGCTTTCGCCAATTTACGCCACCTATGGCGCCGCCATGATATCCGTTTGTCTATTAAGGGTCGCGTGTTCTGCACATCAGTCCGCTCTCTTCTACTGTATGACTGTGAAACATGGCCATTGAAGGTAGAAGACATGAGGCTTCAGGTGTTTGACCACCATTGCCTCCGTAGTATAGGCCATATTCCGTTGTGTCACCACGTGAGTAACGCAGAAGTCAGGTATAGAGCTTTAGGGAGTAGAGGTAAATCAGTTGATGAGGTTATGAACCTTCATCGATTGAGATGGTTGGGACACGTGTTACGTATGCCTAGTCACCGATTGCCTTGTCATACAATGTTGGACAAAGTAAGTGCAGGCTGTAGAAAGGCCTAGGTGGCCAGAGTAAAACTTGGCACCAATGCCTGAAGTCTTTGATTGTTGGTTTAAGCCATGTAGCGCGATGCAGACTAGGTGGTGTGGGTACGCGGGACAAGAGGAACCAGTAGTTGGAGACCCTAGGTGATATGACTTGTAACCGATGTGAGTGGCGCAGATGTATACACACATTATACTCAACACTGCCGATTCTGACCATTTTCTCATTCTTCCTTTCTTTCTTCTTGTACTTTGTATTCCTTTTGACTGAATTTTCTTATCTTCATCTTTCACCTCACTACCTTTCTACTTGATGTGCTGATAAGGTGTGGCAACTCGGACTGCTGCTCAGTAATGCCTGGTCCTATGTTGATATTGATGATGATGATGAAATAGGATGATTTGTTGAAGGTCCAGCTCACATTTGTAGGCTGTGTAACGAACAATATATGCTACTGAACAACATTAGTAACTAAAATGTATCCACACTGATCTACAGATTTCCCTAACCAGATCGTAGTGACACAAATCCTGAATTTCTATTTCGTCCCTTTGAGGCTGAAGTTACTGGCAGCCCACCTCAATAACTCAACTGTCACAGCTTAATTGTTTCAGTCAACGAAATCTGGTCAGCTGATCTTAAAGAAATAGTTTGTAAGGAACTTAAAAAGTACACGATCCATGTTGACATGTTTTCCAGTTGCTCACAGATCAATAATAAAGGAGGTAAATTTGACGGAGCATTCCAACATACTACTAGCTATTTACTACTCAAAAGTGGTACTCGTTTTAAATCAATACAAAAAAAACGTTTGTACTTAACGCTTAGGAAAATGCAGAAATCAAACGGAATAATTTAAATGAGGAAATTCTTCAGAACACCGTTACTTTTATAAAGTCTGCATAATGTTAAACTGCCCATTGAAGGTTAAACATAACATGTGCGAGTAGATTTTTTTTCACAACACGAAGGCTACTAGCTCTGTTTTATGACGCGACAGAGGTTTTCATTTCACCTTCAATCATCATCCAGTATAAAAAATTAGAAGACTAAAAGGTGTTTATCACAAGTGTACAAAAGCGTTCAATTTAGACAAATAAAGGAAGTTCAACAACAAAATCTTGAAACTGTTCTGACTGACGTAGCCGTAGAGTATATTACACATGACAAGTAAACTCTCAGAATATTTACTTGAAGAATAATATATATATGAAGAAGTTGTAAAGTTATCAGACCAAGACGTACTACTGTAACGCACTCAAAGTCTTACTCATTCACCTTTCAGTTTCGGTTTCTAGACTACCTTACCTCTTCGTTGTTCAGCTCTACTGTTTGTCAGTTATCTTTTATTATTAAATGTAAGTATATCCTGTGTGCTTGCTGAGTCGTTGGTTCACCTTTTTCTCTTCCTCTTTTTCCTTCCAGATTCTCATGGTCACCGCTTAACTCACACTGTTCCATTCACTCTCTGCAACAATGTACCTACCCGCCAACCTACCTACAGGCTAGATGAAAACGTATCAACAGCTGGTTGTTACCCTGTTACTTAATCTAGTCCCTGATCCTTGGTGTGAATTATCGATGAAATATTGGTGATCAGTACTCAGAGATCTTAATCGAAAAATCGAACATATTGTTTTACACTAACTTCATTCCTAGACAGTCATGTAATTTATTTTCTATTCTTTTAGCTTAAGCTTAGACTGAACCCCTGAATATGACAAGTTGACCAGATATTCTGATACTTTACTCCACTCAATTCTATCTGAATAAATTTCCAATGAAAGTGAAAATAATAAATCAATTAGATTTGTTCATTTATTAAAAATAACCACATCAGGATGTATGATTCGATACGAAGATATTCAATTTAAAATGTAACAAGCAATTCACTAAAACAAAATTTCAGTGTCAATATTACTCGGATGATTTATTATTTATTATTCATTAGCAAAGAGGAAAAATGACTGTAATAAAACAAAACATTGGAAGAATAAAATGGTTCATTTATTACTAGTTCAAATATTATTGTCAGTAAGTTATAAATTGAAGTTTTGTGCTGACTTGATTTCACTATTATAATAGTAAAACTTGAACACTGTAGTAGATTGTCATTCCATTTTTGTTGATTTATTAGATATATCACACAATGGAACAGTATTCATTACTGGATTACGTTTCAGACACAATTTATTGTCTGTAGTCATACAAAGATAACTCCACGAATATGAGACATGCCCTATAAACGTCTATTCCCCTCGCTTCCTTTGTGATATGGGTGGTCAGGTTTTCCATATATGTGGAACTGGTGCTGCGTCATTCTTGTTGCATCTATTTAGTGTTCATTCGATAAACAAAGATTCGGTTGTCAGTCCCTCCCTCCACTCCCATTAAGTCAGCTTTAAGGATTTTCACCCTGTCCTATTCTATTGTGTGGTTAAGTGTAATTACATACATAGCTATGGATGAGCTTTCTTCTAGATTCCTTATCTTATAAGCATCTGGCAATTTTGACCAAGCTTGGTTCTTGTGCTAATATAGCCTAATTGGCCCTGGTCGACTACTCTGATCACGGACCTAGTGCAAGGAATTTGGTAAACTAAATTGATCTGCCTAGTTGGATGAATAGGATCTTTCAACCCACAAAGCTTATTTCTAACCCACTTTGTAGGTTTAAATACCATTCTAATCCCAGCCTTCTTGAGAATCCTACGTAGTTTCTGAGGTAAATGTGCGTCTGAGATCGATAACTGAATCTTTGTTTACCATATCGACACCAAACCTATACAATAAAAATGACTCAACACCTGTTCCAGATCTATGGAAAATCCTACTATTTATATCACAAAGTAGGCGAGAGAAATTTGGAGTACATAAACCAAGTTTCAAACTTGCAGGGTTATCTTCATATGACTATAGACAACAAATTATGTCCCAGAAATAATCCAGGAAATTATACTGTTCCACTGTATGATACATCTAATAACCCAACTAAAATGACGTTCACATTACCAGGGCTGGTAAACAAATCCTAGGGATTTCATGTTTATGCAAACTGATCACCCCGTGATAACCAACGTAATTGCCCAGTTCTAAGTTCTCAGCACTAACCAGTCTTTCATTCAAGTTCGCAGTGTGCCCACACAGTTTGGTATAATAAAACTACCATACACTGTGTTCTGATATTAGTTGTTGGGAGCTAGTCGTCAGGATGCCCTGAACCTATGTTTCATGTCTATTGGCACTCTGCAGTAGGGCATTGAGGTAACCATAATGAAACGGGTATTCTGTGTGATTCACGGTAATACCAACAGAAAAACAACACACCCGATTATTTTTTATTAAAATCCTTATTCGAAAGCCATGCATAGAAGAAATTAATTCACTCCCCTATTTGCTTCAATACCACACTGATAGATGTTAACTTACTTGTTTCTCCACGAGGCCCAGGTGGTCCCGTCTTTCCTTGTTCCCCTGTAGGCCCGACAGGCCCTCGAGCTGATCGAACTGGTATCCGCACACGACCAAATCCAGATGAACTAGTCCCAACACATTCTAACTGTAGCTGACATGTGGGTGAATTCCGAGTTGAATTTTGTTGACTATATGTAGCTGAACAAACTAATAGTAATATCGTGAAGTTTATGAAAAATATATTTAACGAGATTTTTTTAGTATAAATCATTTTTTAAGAGGTATCTTTTGAAAGTTCAAACTAAGTAAACTGTTTTAAAGATATTCAAAGACTTATTTTAGAAGAATGAAGTTAGAACTATTTACCTTCGTTCTAATTGGTGGTTGCAAGCTGGCCAATCACAAATCACTTCCCGGTTGAACTAAATTAAGCTCATAACATAGAAACAGAAAGAGTGAACATATTTATAATACACAGCAAGGTCATATAGTTTACGAATCCAAATATCACGGTTAGAAGCATTTACTCTTAGCATGATATAAGTATCTAGAGAAAAGATTTGCTCTACTTATGTTTTAAAGTATTAAAAAGTTTAACTATAAACGGATTGATAGACTTCGTTCGATCAGTTCTGAGCACCAAGGAATAAACAGCCACATCGGTTACTCACTGGTATTCATTTCGGGTGCATAATCCATTCCCATAGGAGACGAGTAGTGAGGTGGATAGCTTAGCGGTTTGGTCTCTAGTGCATGTTTGAACCATTCAAGGAGCAACAATTTCCTCATCGGTTCAGATACACTTTGCCTATGGGTGCTAAGAAGTAGGAAACCTAGGTTCAGGTCATCCTACTCATTGACTCCCGACATCTAAAGCAAAATCATGTCTAAGAATGTTTAATCTAAACGAAATGATGTTATCTCATAAACATTATTATGTGAAAATATTAATTTTCGATAAGTATAAGCTGATTACTATTGTCTATAAAAGTTGTCATTGCAGATCACCAACTCGATCCTTTCCATTTTGCAGTGAAGAGTTTTTGAAATATGTAACTGTTAATGGTATGTACTGTGGTGAGTAAAACTGCAACCGTAAAGTCATTCATCGGTATAAACTTACATACATATATTTCTTTTCATAAGCTTTAAATGAGCAAGAAAAACATTGAAGCAAAGTAACAATGATTCATTTTACTGTTTCGGCGGTTCTCATCAGCTGCTTATAACCTAGAATATTTGCAATGAAATATTAATATTATTTACTTCAGTGAAACTAATCAGAAGAAGACAAAAAAGTAGTGAAGTAAGGAAACTGTCCGAATTAAAGTAGTCAAAATGTTGTGTAATGACAAGAATATATATATCTTATTAGAACGGAAGTTCTTTTAAAAATTAGATGGGGGCAGAAAAGCAAATACTGTATAACTTAGAACAAGAAATTACGCAGATCACTTAGTAGGTAAATTAGTGATTAGAAAACAAAATATAATGGGAAATAATTCATAGAACTCGGCTTATTAGGATTAGGACTTACTGTGAACTGAAAATCTAATGATAGGATAGTGATGTAGTTAAATAAGTGGCAGGTTAAGAGATTAACTTATCAGGATAGCTGAAGATTGACGATAGATTCCTTTAAAACACATAAATCTGGTTTTAAGCGTTTGATTAAAATGGCTTCAGGGAAACGAAGTTTTGAATTATTCCGTTTATTCATAACTTTGAGTGATCCAAACGCATTTACTTGATGTTCTGTGCATATTAATTGTACCCTTGAGTATACTTGCTTCTATCAATCGTTGGCTCTTCAGGATGTGCTCAAAATATTGGAGGTAAGCCCTTCTTTCTGTTCTCCCAATGTTACTGTCTTGTCAGATACACGTGAACTGATACATATAGTTGAAGGTAACATATGCAAGGGTACCTGTCAGTTTTAGATTGTACTAGTGACGGAAAAGTAAAAGAAAAGTAGTGTAGTGCATAGTCTTCCGTTTACTATAATCGCCATATCGTCATCTTTAACGTGAAGGTGAATGGTGATCGGTTTCTTACTAGCTAGTATTTTCTCAATCCTACTACATTCTCTCCTACTCCGTTTGTTGATGAGGCTTTGTAAGTATCCGTTTAAGACACTTCTCCAGAAGCGATAATTCTTCTTCAAGTTTATTTGGTGAACATATTCTTCGTGCTCTAAAAACAGCGTTCTAACCCAGTACTCGTTTGTAATTGACTGAACTGAAATTAAAGTATAGGCCAATTCATGTGCCTTTGCCGATGAATAGATCTTTGAGGTGTACCTTCAGTTCTGTGTTGAATACTGACGTCCATAAAGTTGATTTTACCATTCTCTTCATGTTGCATTGTGAGTTTAAAGTTTTTATGTACACCAAGTAGATGTGACGCGTGGTGTAAATTCTTACACACAATTAAGGTATCGTCTATGTATCCCTTGTAAAATGCTGTTTCATCAGCTCAAGGATACGGTTGAAAATATAAGGCCTAATGGACTGCCGACTGCCACTCTATCAACTTGATGGTATAGCATATTGTCGAATTGGAACCAGCCATCTTTCGTATATTTTGGAAGCTTACTGAATCCCACTGTTGGTAGAGGGAGGAGATCGGTGGGTTGATAGATAATATCTGTACTTTTGAAGTGTCCTATATTCGTATTCATCTGGAGGAAACTAGTAATTTAAGTGTATTATATCTTCGGATACTCATCGAGAATTTTTCAACACATTTAAATTTTTAGGTAAACTACAATAAAAATGTACGTCATCCGAACAGTTGTTTAGGCTCAAGAAAGAGTACTAGATACTGGTTTATTCACATATCTAAGTCTATGGATAAACAATGGACTATGGCACTTCCAAAGGTAGTACATTTAAATTGGCCAATCTTCTAACTATTTATGGTTCATAATTAGCACAGAAACCAACTTCAACCTGTAAGCAGTCATCAATAAATACTGTTCAGAGAGAGAGAGAGAGAGAGTACTCAGCACCCTAACACAAATTATGCCCCCCCCCTCCCAAAAAGACTGGTCTTTTTTAGGCAGTATTATAATTTCGACTGTTGCAGTGACAGATTTATTTTGAATCTCACGAGCAGGTTAAGCTCAAGGACAAATCATCAAAATTTTGACCATGTTTTTGACAGGACTGAGAGAAATCAGTAGCAAACTTCAACTCACAAGTGCCTTTACGCTAAAGTGTATCTTACACGTTTAGATACAGTAACAAATAATTAATTTGACTGAGAAATTGAAAACGGATTTCCTATAACTACTATCGGCGCATTTTACTACTTGAATTAAAAGGTGACTTACTAATGACTCATTTGATAACATCACTGTACAGAGCATTTCAAAAGTTAATTCCATATTAGATTTGTTTATTTGATTTATAATACACAGTGATCAAAGGTTGTTAATCGCTCCTTCACCAATTTCTATATGATTTATAATTCTGAAATAATTCACTGTGGAGTGAAAGCAGATATTGTGTACTATTTACCTTTATCTCTATGAAAACAGTTCCTTAATTCCTATGAATAGTGTTGAGCTTTGAAAAAACGTTTGATTGACTACAAGAGTGACAGTAAACGTCACCATAGCACAACTGAAATAAACAATTAAGCCTCTGACGAACATTCATGGAAAGCACTTTCCATGTGTCTGTGCCTGTATCTGTGAAGTTGTGGCACATGATGTCAGCGTTGTTATGGATATCGGTGTCTGTTTCAATCTTAGCTGCAGCATCTCCGCTTTTGACTTTCTGTTCCCGTGACAGAGTTGGTATGTAGTGCACCTTCCTGGCACGAAAATGCAACTAGGGCTAAAATCAATAAATCAAATTAAATTAACTAAATAAACTTGCAGATGCTTAAGGTGTTTTAAGTTTTGTCTTAACGAGCATGCATCCAAGCAGGCTTCAACGCTATTCTGGGCTCCCTTTGTGCTGGTGAGCACGCACGTACTCAGAGTCCCTAGTCCAGCCACACTAGAGCATTTATTCTAATTGAATATATTGCTCCTTTGAATATATTCCTGAAACCAGTTCTTTTGATTTATGTTTCGTTATCAGTACTTACACGTTAGGTAAGGTACTGGTTAAGCAGGTACTGGAGTTAAGTAGGGTTGGCCAAAAGTTACGTAATAGTAATGTAACCAGCACACTCCCTACAGGTGTCTCTCTAGCTGCTGTTGGTACCTACGTCAGACTGTTAGGTGAACGTCACATTCACGTACACAAATGCGATTAATTCGCGTTTTGTGTGGTAGCTTGTTCATTTGGATTTGATTGAAGGATATTTGTGATTGATTATGAGTGATATGTGTTAACATTTGTGGTTGTCGAGGTGTGGTGTTAGGTTTCTGGTGTGTTGTGTGATATGTTTCTTGTGAAGCAGGAGATTTGTTTCTGTGGTTGGTTTCGTTGTTTCCGTTGCAATAGGCTGACGGGGATATAGGTGACTGGTAGAGCTGTCAACTACAGGTTGAGAGGCCTGCGGTCAAACCGTGGGTGTCCCTTAAACTTTGCCACTCACACAAACACCCACCACCACCTAAAGAACGATATACCTCATGCACATTACACGTCAAGTCAACGCAAACTCACACACTTCAATCGACAATCCCACCGACTGTTACAGTCGCACTAGCGAGAGGTTTCAGTGAGAAGAACATCACCTACAGCGATGTGACGAATCATACTCTTCGTGGCATTAAATGGATCTACTACTACTTGCGATCCGGTAAAGTCTCATTCGAATTGTTTACATACTTGCTATTGGAAAAATGAAAGCTGGAGGGGTTGGGCATAACTGAACCCTGAATATTACTTCTGCAATTCGTATCCTAGTTGCTACAAAAAACCACTGGTCACTCTAGACATGGCACCGAGATATTGCATACGCCCGACAGTATTACCACCTAGTGTAACAGGTAATCTTTCTTTTCGGGATTGCATGAAGCTGTTTGACTTAATAATGCTTCTTAGTCTGATAATTTATTTTTTCTGTGTACTTTATAATCCTAAAAATGTCACGCAGTCTATAGGGAACTTAGATATAATTCCAAAATAACCAAGTTTTTCTAGTGTGGTGCACAATAGAAAAATATCACTTTGGATGACGTTTCCAGCTCAAGTTATTTCTCACAGTCATATCCAAGTGATCTGAAAACTTATGATCCCTCGGCTTCGGTGGGAATAGGATTTCCTATGTACCGAATTATTATCAAGAGTTTACAAAAATTTGTTAGAACTTATACCAATACGTTTATTTATTTTTCTAGATGTAGCACTTTGCTTAG